ATTGGTCCAATCCAGGTTGGTGCCATCGCTGCCACCTATTCAAATGAGTTTCATAGTATAGCTGGGCTCTGCATGAAGAAGTGCTTTCTTTTATCTGTCTTGAATCTTCCAACATTCAGCTTTGTTGGAAATCCACGAGTTGCTGTTTCTACTTCTAGGGACCTAGTAAGCTGAAAACAATTGGCATCCTCCAGTTGATGACAAGTCATGAATCCGAGACATGTCATAGATGGGGGAGTTTCCTGTGCATAGTGTTTACTACAGACCTTTGCACACAAGTAGGAGCAAAGGGAGGGGGAGTTGCTAGGAAGTTGGTGGAAGGTCAGATCCAGAATCCTAGGACCCTACAGCTTCTTTTCCATCAAAATAAAATTGGCAGTGGTGAACATGCTTTAATGAAGAAGGTTAATTCCCAGTTCAGTTCTCTGCATCAATATGTACATGTGAACGCTGCTCCTCTGGTGAAAGGAATTTTACAAAGGCAACCGAAGACTCATCAACTAGTATTTACATAATTAATAAAACACATTATCGTAATGAAACTTGTTAGAAATATTAATGAAGGCCCTGGCTATCGGGTTGCCATAGTAACACAATGCATTATATGTTGCTGAGTGAGTTTAGTTATATCAGACTGCATGCGCTGTGCACTTTAAAAACAACAACACCCTGTATAGGGTAATTGAAATTCTTCTAACTCAGAAGCTAAATTCCATATATTATCTGGCATTTTTCATTTTTTTATTCTGCTAATCATTGGTTCAGGGAATAAGCTGTAGAATGTGATAACCCTTGTGGCCTACAACGTGGTAAAATGCAGCAATGGCATTCAAGGACAGTTGAGTTATGCTCGTTAGCTTTTGAATCTGCACAGCAATGCAATTGATCTTGATACCTGCAAGGTTTGTTTTTCAAAAATTAAAGTGAATTTTTTCCCCAAATGCAATATACCCAACAGGATGCTGTACTAGATGGGCATTTGGACTGATCTGGTAGGGCTCTTATGATCTTAATGTGCTCTTGAAGTTATGCTAAGATTGCCTCCCTTTCAGAGCCTGAATTATAGGGCACTGCAAGGGAGGAAGCTTGGACTTTTACCTTTCAGGAGGTTTTAGAAGGCTAAATGGGCCTGTCTGGGGTTGGGTTTGTGAATCTCATTAAAAACATGGGGAAGGGGGAACAGGTTGCTGTTGCACAAATATCATGATAGATCACGTCAGTTGTTCCTTACAGCATAATCCTAACCGTGTCTGCTCCGAATTAAGTCCTGTTGAATTTAATGGGGCTTACTCTCAGGTAAGTGGGGTAATGATTGCAACCTTAGTTCTCAGTGTTTCTTTGCACACGCACAGACTTTTATAGGATAACCATTTCAGTCTGTTTTTTGTAACAAGTGTGGTATTGCACACCCATGAATTGCAGATGTTAGAGTAGCCCCATGCTCCTCAGCATTGCATATATGTCGACTATCCAGCTCAATATGTTTTTTGGTCTACAGCCCTGCTCTTAGCTGATGCTGGTACCAGCCATGTCCCAGTCTTGTCTTGCTTTCTTCTCTACATCCCGCATTGACCTTGATGCTTTAGCTATAGCCAGCTGCTTGTTTTTGGTCACTTAAACTGATGTTCCATTAACAGTAAGCTGTCATCAGGGCACCCACACTCGCTGACAGTTACATAATAAGCCATATTAAAAACAAAAAGTGTTACCTAGCACAGACTTTTGTTAAACACAGACAAAGTAAGAAGCCAAGTGGGAAACAGATTAATCTGAGGAACGTCTCCTTTGGGAGAACCAGTAGCTGCCCCAGCCATTGGCTCTGACAGACAAGTAGCTGTTTGTAACACTGAACATTCCTGAGTGATATCTTTTGACTTCAGCTTCAACAAGCAGAAAAGAGACAGCCCTTTTTCCATTTCTCTTTGCTATGATTATTTTTCTTCGTGGTGCAAAGAGGCTGGAGCAACTCTAGCTTTTCAAGATTATAGTTTTCTGTTTCTTTTCTACAGAATCCTTTCTTTTTAAGAGAAGATGAAGTTAATAGAAAAAATGTAACACCCATTCTGCTTTGGTTTTGAAGAAATTAGACAGGGAGGTGGAATGCATGCAAGAAAGCCTAAAATGCATGTGCCGATTCCTGCAATTAATGATGCTACTATCAAACCTCCGAAATCTTAAGGGCAGAGCATACGTGTTACAGTTGCCATGGAGTTGCTATTGGAAATGTCTCCTATGGTAAACAATCCTTACCTGGCCTGTAACTTTTGCAAGTACTCAGCATGTGATTTACACTCAGCACTTTTCAATATACACACAGCCTGTGGCCACTGGGGTCACATAACAGGGACACAGAAATTCACAGCATGGTGTGGGCAAATTGCTCTTTTGCCAGGTTGTTAGGGTTTTGTTTTGTTTGTGTAAACATGGAAAGTATGCATTCCAGAAATGAAGAAAGTAGAGTGAGCTCTTCTAAACTAAAAAAAGAAAAAGAACAGGAGAAACTAGTATTCCTCAGTTGAGCCTCTGAAGAAGACAACAGTGTCTGCAGATTAAGATAATCTGTTTTATTGAGCATGGGAGGTGTTGCTTTTTGTCAGTGATGTCCTCGGCACTAGCCAATACACTCCTATGACACTACTTCAACTACATATCAGGAAGAGTGGGCAGGTAATCAAATATGCCGGTGATAAATGTAATTATCAAAGTGATGGAAAATGAATTCCCCTATAGCAGACGCCCTATCTAGGTGAAAGGGTTTAATCTCAGCATGTGAACACATTTTTGTGTGTGGGAAGGTTGGGGGTGATGTGGAGGGGGCAGGGCTGGCACACACGCACCTGTTCACCCTGTTTCTGCCCTCATGCATGCATGAGTCTCCTTGCTGTTAACTCCTAGACTTGAGAAACAAACATTTTACAAAGTCTTGCAGTAAGTACCCAAGATTCTGATGGAGGTACTTCATGGTAACCTGCCCCAAGGAGAAGGAGCAAGAAACAGTGGACCAGATCCAAATGCATTAACACTTTAAAAGTTGTTTACATGTGACTTCTTGTAACTTCCTAACCATCCACTCCACACTCTTCCCCCCATTTTTCTGTTTTCTTTTTACTACTTACCCCTGCCTAGTAATGTAGGTCAAAATAATGTGAGGAAATCAGGTCCTGTCATGTGTTGCAATAAATCTGTGTTCTGTTTTATTTCTTTTTATTTTAAAATTTTATTTTACGGTTTAGTATTGCTTTTATTTTAAATTACATGTGGAGGGCACAATAATCTTTTCAGTGCTTCTAAATGTCTTAATTTTAGGGCTTCTAAATGTCTTAATTTGGTTCTGCTTAGATGTCCATTTGATTTACGTCTGTTGTTCCTGAACCAGCAACTGATACACATGGGGAAATGTACTAATGGAACAACTTATCATGCAAAACTCTAGTCAGATTGGAACCAGAAAGTACTAATTTCAGAGTAATAATTTTTCTTTTTAAGCTCATGTTTTGAGAAATGCCTTTAAACATATTATGAGCCAGTCTTTATAAGAAATGTAACTTTGAAGATTGGTGCCTAAGTTTGCCTTTTCCTTCTTCCTCCTCCCCTCTTTTCCTTTTGTGCCATGTCTTTTAAATAGTAAGCCTCTGGCTTTTTTGGCTTTTTTAAAATAATAATCTCCAAGTCACCTTGGGAGCCTTTTTGGGAGAAGCATGGGATTTTTAAAAATTAAATAAAGAAATATTGGTATTTAAAATACATGTTAATTTCCCTGGAAAAATCCTTGTATTAGAAATGCCACAAATACAGTGGTACCTCTGGTTACGTACTTAATTCGTTCCGGAGGTCCATTCTTAACCTGAAACTGTTCTTAACCTGAGACACCACTTTAGCTAATGGGGCCTCCCACTACTGCCGCACGATTTCTGTTCTCATCCTGAAGCAAAGTTCTTAACCCGAGGTACTCTTTCTGGGTTAGTGGAGTCTGTAACCTGAAGCGTCTGTAACCTGAAGCATATATAACCCGAGGTACCACTGTATATGCTCTTGCTTGCAGATCTTCAATGATAATTTTACACTATTTCACCCCAAGTATTTTTAATTAAATAAAGATTAGACATTTCAAATCAGCCTAGAGATACATGAAATCAATTGATATGTTCACTATTTCTGACGAAGTAATCAATGAGCAAGAGTCAAGACCTATAGGCGAGGACTACTAAAATTGTTTCCAGTGTGTGCTTGTTTTGCTAACTAGATACAGATACAAATATGGATTTCCAGGGATATGGAAGTCTTGAATTACTCCATAAGAAGGAAATGACTCACATTTCTTGGACTCTGTCACTGTATTGTCAATTAACTATTGCCCAATTTCCATTAACTTACATGAAACTTGCAAAAGACTTGTTTCTTGTGAGTGTGCTGAAAAACCCGTTAGCATAAAGGATGTGTGTGTCTTAGGCTGTGTACACATTCTTGTTTACTCTGCATCCAGTGCTCCCTCTGCTATTCTGAGAAGCTGTGTACACACAATGTAACACAGAATACATACCTATTCTGTATCTGTCCATACAAAATACCAATCTGATGAGTTCCCCCCCAAACCAACTTCAGTCCAAACTGAGAAAAGGAATGACCTGTGTTTTAAGCTTTTAAGGTGTATGCAGCCATATTATAGTTCACTGGCCGCTTCCTCCTCTCACTCTCCAAAAAAAGATCAGTGCAGATTCCACTAGCAGTAGGGACAGCATAGGAACAACAAATGTGCCCAGATGGCTGTAGACTTCATTACTTTGACTTTTTTTTACTTTTAACTGGATGGCTAACCACAAGGAAATACAGAGCCTGAGCTGAGAAGAGACACCCCCCCCCCAGTTTACTATATCAAATTAAACTTGGCGTTGTAGACATTTTCCTTTGCTACCATTAATCTCGTGGCTTAATAAGGTATCTCAACATTCTCTTGGAAGAAAATGTGTCTCTAATCTTGGCTGAATAATCATGTTTTGCAGGAGATGCACGGCTGAGAGGTCAGACAGGGGTTCTCTCTGAGCGACGTGGTTCCTACCCATTCATAGACTTCCGCCTTCTCAACAGTAAGTGATCACTTATCGGAAAGTGGATTCGTGGGCAGAGGGTTTTTAAAAAATGCATTATTTAACTTGTTATACCACAAGTCTAATAATTATTATCAAAGTCATAAATTAAATTCCACATTCATAAATTATTTTACCTTAGCTGCGGCATCAGGTGAAAACTGCTTACTCAGTTCTGGATGTTCCCAGAGGCTGGAATTCATGGACAGATAAGAGAACCGGCCAATACACACTACCTTGCCTGCTGTTGAAGAAATAAAATCGGAGGCACATATGGAAAATCTATTTAACCACATTTCCTTTTGTCCCACAGCTTCCCCCCAGGGAAAACTGCTCTCTTGCACTCAATCAGAGCAAATGGCAATCAGGTTTTCTGTGGGTTGCCATTTGTTCCAGTTTAGAGCTAAAGAGTGGGTTTTCCCTGAGAAAAGAGTGGGGCAAGGGGGAGACTGCTTGGACCCATGCTTTCTAGGCACAGGACAAGCAGATGTGGTGGATGAGCCCTTAGAAAGTATCCTATGGACTTTCCCCTCTGTCTTTCTTATGTGTCAAATAGGAAGCCAGACATACAAGCAAAGGGCTGTAATGTGATGAAGAATCCTGTACCTGCATAATGTGTGGGATCAGGTGTGCTATTTCCACTTGGGATTTCAGGTGGGGCTTGATTTCTTTGAGGCCTGGGAGTTTTCTAGAATGTGCAATCCTGAATCTTGCAACTCATGAAGATTTATGGTTTTAGCTCAATGTTCCTTTCACTTGGTGGAATTTTTGCTTGTGGTATGGGCCATAATCAAGCCACAGTTAAGCACTCTAAAATCCTATTGAACATAACTTAAAATGCTTTCCTTCATCTGAACTGTAACCTGCATTTATTAATGAATCTGTAGCACATTTCAGTGTACAAACCTTGTCACAATTCTGTAAACCCCTCAATTCTCTCAAAGTGAGAGTTCTGATGTGTGTGTGTAATTAAACATGGCCATCTGTAGAAGAACAGGTAATCTGTATAGTATGAAGGGTAAATTCCACATTTATTTATAGCACTTCTGTTATCAGATGTTTATTGCATCCTTTCCCCCCATTTTACTGGAGCTTAGCCCAGCTTGGATTTCCAAACAGATTCTCCTGGTAAGGCAGCAATAATTTAATCCTCCGATTGACTAAGTTGCTCAGTGAATCACTGAACCAAATCTTTTCAGTGACTCATGTGTGGTGATTAAAATTGGCTTTCATTATCTTAGGATGCAATCTGTCAATGACTGATACAGCACATATTTCTTGATTGCCTTAATTAAGAACAAGAGGGAATTCCATGTGGTACAGTGGCAGGGGGGCGAGTGAATCCCAGAAAACTGGGGGGGGTGTGCTTTCCCTTGTTTGTTTGTTTGTTTGTTTGTTTGCTTGCTTGCTTGCTTGCTTGCTTATACCACCCTTCTTCCATAGATCTCAAGGCGGTTCACAACATACAAATGCAAGATTAAAAACACCAAATACATAATAAAAGCAAGAACTAAAAACCTCACAAACCAATAACCTGTTATGTTCCTAATGCTGAATTTGTTATTAAGCACCTAAAACTGCAGCCCAAGAAAGGGACTATGAACCATTTTAATATACTTCATTATTAATACCTATAAGTGATTGATAATGAGACCTACATCTCTTATTGTTCATTAGGACAAATTACACAAGATTGTCCAGTGAAAGTCACTTTCATATCTAAACATATTAACACTAGGATGCAGATTTCCTTTGACCAACAACTATACAAGTACAGTTAGTATTCTTGGGTTATATTTTCATTCTCAGAACTTTCTTCCTTCATAGAAGTTAGCTTGGGGCTTTGGGGGAGACACCACTTGGAGATTTTGCTTCAAGCACCAAAATGTCTTTAGTTAACCCTGGCTCAACTATAGTGAACTGTATACTTTGAACTTGACTTGTAGCTCATCTGTCTACTTTAGAGCACTCTCTCTCTCTCTCTCCCCCCCCCCCAAGTTTGGCAGAACAGACTACAGTAAGTCTGTAACCTCCAAGCATTTAACTTTATGCACTTAGCAATTAAATTTTTTTTTGAAAGAAAGAGGGCAGACATCTGGGAGGGGGGTATATTTTGGACATCCCACCTGCCATTGAACCCAGTGCTTTGACTACTGTATATGCAGTTTCGGCTTTAGGTGTGATCACCAGAACGTAACCCCCATGAAAGTTGATACTGTGTTCCAAACCAATATCATAGTGTTCAAATGTAGTGTCTGGTGCACTCAGATACCAGTTTCTTGAAATCCCTGCCAGGCACTAATGCACAGCTGGAGAGGGGAAAGTGCCCTGGGGAAAGGCATTTTTTCTCCAAGTCATGCCCATGCTCACCATAGAAAGTTCAGCCTGTGTCAGACTGGTGCCTACCAAGATGGACTTAGCAAAGAATCAAACAGGCTGAAGGGCACTGCATATGTGACTTACAGGTTTTGAAAGCACAGAAATTGATACTGGTATCAGACCCATCTAGATGGGGCTTGAGATTTTTTCAGCTCACCCACTCATGAACACCATAAAAAGTATATCAACAAAAACTCCAGCATACCTTTTGGATTTCTTGGTGTTTGTGTTCAAATCAAATACTAGTAAAATGGCATTTTATTTTCAAATCCAATAACATGAATCGTTTCATTTGCTTAAGTTAGGCTGCAAGGCTGTGTATGCACCATCCATTTAAAGCTCATTTCTTTCCTCATGCCCAAATAGGATCCTGGATACTGTAGTATACAATTCCAAGATTCCTTAACAAGTTCTCAGGATTCTTTGGGAAGTGAAATGCGCTTTAAAAGTATGGTGTGGAAGCAGTAAGTCTCATAAAATTTAATCAGGCTTACTTCTGATTAGACATATATTAAAGTATTTGATGATACTTTTAGCTAGAAGATGCGCGAGTAAAGCTGGAATACCATGAAACAGGACACAGTTATGGAATCTTCATGTAGGATTCTTAAAGGACTTCAGTTATGGTGAAAATATCTATGTTTTTCAAATTCTCAGCAGCATTTTAATTAGTTGAAACCATTACTGAAAGTAGGTTAGACTCTTCCCATCCTTTTTGTTTTTTTTAAGAAAACCAAATCAACTTGTTGAGGTATTTTAATTCACTAAAATAATGTCCCAGTGTTAACTTACAAACACAATAAATGATTGTTTTTCTAATTCCATAAAAATGTTTTATATTACTTGGACAATATTTGTACAAGAATCTGACTAGTTACTTGATCCTTTTTCATATATGACTTACACACACACACACACACACACATATATATATATAGTGAGTTGCTTAATTTGTTACCTGACCTTCTGTTCTAAGGAAAGGGTGTTCTGATGATAACATTGAGATTTTCCAGCTGACACAAGGAAGAGAGAGAACAAAGTGGATGAACTATTAAGATGATAAATGAAAAACAGGGTTTTCTGTTATTGCAGGTTATGTTCATTTTCCTTAAGGAGGAACGGGGGGAAAGAATGGGTATTTCCTTTCACTTACTCTGTAATCAGCCATAATTTTACACTTTGAAATGTATCTTACTATAAAACTACAGATAAGATTTAGGAAGCTAGGTTAAGACACTCAATCTGAAAATTCCTTAGATGGTTGATTGTCAAATTTATTACTGCGACACAATGCAGTTCTATCATACAATTGCATTTGCAGAATGATTTGCTGCCCCTCTAGAGTCAGTGGAACTAAACCTAAGTTTGCAGTACTTTACCTTAATCTGTTTGCAGATTCAGCAGTTAATGTGCTGGCAGGTATCAAGCAATTTGGCCAGTACAGTGTTGCTAATTTTGATGGTTTCCCTACTGAATTTAGTAGGTTTTCTGTTCATTCAGTGGAATAAATTCCTGTCGAGTGGTTGACTAGAAACACAGTGGCTTCTCTAATAGTGGTCATTGGGTCTTTGTCTAATTTTCAGTGGAATTTCTGAACTGGATTGGAAAGCTTGGAGCATACTTCTTGTTCAGAGAGAAAGCTCACAAGCAGAGGCAACTGCTGACCAATAAGCACAAGTCAGACTGTATGCCTGCTTCCATTAACTCCACACCCAGCATGCTCCCACCAATGGACCGTGAACACAGAACATTAGCCACAATCCATATCTATCCTGTAGTTTGGGAAATACTGCACCTTGATACATTTTCCCCTATACCAGCTTCAGTCTGATTTGAAACTGTTGTCATATGATGAAGACATAAACACACCCTCTCCTCCACTTATATGGACAGACAGTGGCTTGTTGAAGAGAGAGGTTTGGAAGAGATTGTTTTCTCTCTTGTAACAGAGAGGGAAGCAGGAGAAAGAAAAGAGAGGGGAGGAAGCAAAGGCTGCTGGGAGCCTAGTAACTTCACCCACACTGGCAACTTGAGCTCAGGGCAGGCTAACCCTTTCATGCACTCAAGTGTGAGTCAGTAAATGAATATTACAACATAGGTGACTTTGAAATACATCAAACCATACTGATAAATACGAAAGTGGTTTGAAACACAGCCAGGGTAGAGATAACCTCATTATATTTTAAGTCCGTAATATGCACACAGCCTCTGTTAGAAACAATTGATTTTAGATTCTTTGGGAACTGGTCTCTCAGACTGTTTGGGTCAGCTACTTCACTCCTGGCAGTCTGAGAGAGGAGGGGGAGGCCAAACAAAGGGACAATAAGAGAAGATGTGTCTTTTTGAAGTCAGACCCAGTAAATGGCGGGTAGCTTATGATGAACACTGAAACATAACCAAGTTTGTCTTAGGTTTGTTTGGGTGCCTCCATGTACGAGGCCCAAGACAATTGCCCCAACCTGAACATCGCCTATGTAAGGTAAGTTGGGAGACATAAAAATATAATGAATTGTACATTATCATGGAGCATCTTGTACCAGATACCATCTGGTCATGTGTGTTTAGTCAGTGCCACCATTACATTATTTAAATATAACATGCATTTTTAAGGATATTTTTCACACTTCTGTTATGACTGCAGATGTTTCATTCTGTTTGAAATTTGGCTTTGTTTCTATCTTCCAGTGCTCCCCTCAGCATGGTTTACTCAGCATTCCCTAGAACATTGTTCTATCAAATATTCATGCTGGTTGCAAGTCCAAGGTGTTCTGAATCACATTGCTTTTTTGTTTTTCGCTGAAAAACCCACTTAAATAATTCACCTTATCCTTATATTTGTTTTTCCAGTAAAACATGTTAAAGCACCCATGCTTTGATGCTCCATATCTTTGACAGATTATAATTTGTTTTATTGTTGCCCTTGGGAGAGCAGAAAGTAGTGGCAGAAACATATCTGTTTGGAAGAGAAAACCCCACGGTCCTAGTACTTTTGCATTTTCAGCTTAGTCAAAATCTGGCCTTCATTGAGTTCCTGCTTATTCGTTTAGTGAAGATCTTTGTACCTGTCATTTTTCCACAGATACCATTTACTCAGGGGAAATTGGAACAAAGAAAAAGGTAAAAAGACTGTTGAGCTTCCAGAGATACTTCCATGCATCCAGGCTACTGCGTGGAATCGTACCACAGGCTTCGCTGTACTTGCTGGATGAAGGCTACCTTGGGCAAGCAAGGGTAAGAGGCATCTTCAACAAACTCCCTACTAAAGACTTATTGTTCTAAATGTAACAAAGAGACTGCCTGAAGATTCGCTTGAATTCAACATGAAGGAATGTTAGATATGTGGAATTGGATCCTGAGATAATTTAACAAAAGGAAGTTCATGGAAAGAATGTTTCTCACCCCCTTCTCCCCCTGTAACCACTTGCACCCCCTGAAATGCCTCTCCAGTGGGTCAGAAGCCTCTCCTGAACAATGTGTGGTAGGGTTTGGGGACTGCTGAGGGAGGGGAAATGACCCAAGTGTGTTGTAGCACACGGATAATCAACATGGTGCAGTCAATATGTTGTTGGTCTACAACTCTTAGCCCTAGCCAGCATGGTCAATAGTTATTAATTGTAGTTGTAGAACTCAAAAGTGTGTGACTCTGGGGGGCACCATGTTGGCTACCCTTATTCTTGTTGTTGTTGAGTCGTTTAGTCGTGTCCGACTCTTCATGACCCCATGGACCAGAGCACGCCAGGCACTTCTGTCTTCCACTGCCTCCCACAGTTTAGTCAAACTCATGCTGGTAGCTTCGAGAACACTGTCCAACCATCTCGTCCTCTGTCGTCCCCTTCTTCTTGTGCCCTCCATCTTTCCCAACATCAGGGTCTTTTCCAGGGAGTCTTCTCTTCTCATGAGGGGGCCAAAGTATTGGAGCCTCAGCTTCACGATCTGTCCTTCCAGTGAGCACTCAGGGCTGATTTCCTTAAGAATGGATACGTTTGATCTTCTTGCAGTCCATGGGACTCTAAAGAGTCTCCTCCAGCACCATAATTCAAAAGCATCAATTCTTCGACGATCAGCCTTCTTTATGGTCCAGCTCTCACTTCCATACATCACTCCTGGGAAAACCATAGCTTTTACTAATACGGACCTTTGTTGGCAAGGTGATGTCTCTACTTTTTCTAGTAGAGTATATCTTATTCTAGTATACCTTATTCTAGTATATCTTTAATCATCCTCATGGTCCCTTCCGACTCTGTGATTCTGTGAAAAGAAGCCATACCTTCATCAAGCAGAGCTGGCTCTGCCATTAGGCACACTGCTGTGGATGCTTCAAGCAGCAGTCCCATGGATGCCCCACTGCCTCTGCAGAAGCGCCACTGATTTCAGCTGTAATCGCGCAAGATTTGTGAGTGTGCAAGATCTTGATTGTTTTGGGTAAGATCTCACCCCAAATTGCAGAAGCAGAAGGGCATGCAAAGAAGGAGTGCCAGTGGCGCAACAGGTATGGGAACAGAAGGGCAGGGAAAGGTGGCACTTCCTATTTTGCCTCAAGCGGCAAAACGGGATGCGCTCCCCCTGCCTTCATGGACCAGTTATTGCAGTGTAAATTAATACGGCAGATAGCAGGCATTTCAGCAAACAAACTTTTCATAAGGGTTAAAAGTAGGTTTCAGGAAAGCATACTTTCAGCTGGAGGCAGCAGTGCAGCAATGGATACCGGTTGCTGGAAACCACAGGAAGGAGCATGTTCTTGTGCTCGAATCCTGCTTGTGGGTTTTCATGCAGGCCACAGTGCTTGGCCACTGTGAGAACAGGATTCTGGAGTAGATGGGTCATTGGGCTGATCCAGCAGGCTCTTCTTACATTCTTCTGTCAGGGAGTTTCAACCAGTTGAGGTTTTGCAAATGTGTCCCTGTTTTTGTCTGAAATGTTGGAGGGTACAGTGTTCAGAAGCTTGTTTCAGTCTTGGGCAAACCTTCAATTTCTCTTTCTAAACCACTTAGAGACGGTTCTAGCGTTAAGCAGTATGTAAAATATATATGAAATAAATAAATTTCTGAAGTCTGTGAAGCTGAAAGTGGAAAGCAGAAGCTGTGGTTCTTTAAGATGCTGGTTCTTTTTAGAGAAATATATTTAGAGCTATGCTAAGAATTTATTTCAAGGATATATAATCTGCTTGGATGGAATGGGATAAAAAGAAAGCAAGTTCAGCATAGCTAATTTTCTACGGTTTCTATGGGTGCTTCTAGAGAACCTGTTTATTGAGCATTCGTCCTGATTTGTTTGCAGGTAGATTAGATGGTCTTGCTGATTTTCTAAATTGTTGTTAATTACACTACAGCCAGGATGTGAAACTATGGCCATCCAGATATTGTCAGACTCCAGCTCCCATCAAGGATGAAGAGAGCAATAGTCCAGAAATGAATGGAGGGCCATAGGTTCCCCACCCCCATTTTCTGAGTTCCTCCCTGCCCCCAATAATGTGAGTTCCGATAATGAGCTTTCCATATAAAAACCTAGTTTTGTTTACAGTGCTGTTTTCCCAGTTGACAAATACTAAGCTATACGTAGGTGTCTTAGACTGCAATCTTATGCACAATCAGCCAAGAGTAAGTCTCATTTTGGGCTTGCTTCTGAGACTTTTGGATTAGACATGTATAGGATGGCAGTGTTCGCTATGCAGGTTCCTCTCTAAAACTGGCTACATTTGAACTATTACTTAATTAAAACAAAGGTAATTACACTTTCAAATGTCATAAATGTACCAAAGAGTACAATTTTATGTACTAAATTATTTCTTATATATATATTTTTTCTTAAATTAGTACTATTATTTCAGGTTTATTATTAATTATTAAATCTAATTATTTATTGTTATCCTTGTTGTTGCTATTAAAAATATCACCTGCCCTTCACCCGGGACAGGTTACAACAAATTAAAATTCAAAATGCAGTTAAAACAGATTACAATCACAGGACCAGGGTGGGTCCTGAAAGCACGTATCTCAGGTGTCACAGGCCATGGCAAATATAAGAAAGTAAATAATAATTTGTGAGCTCATATCCAGAGCATGTGAAAGGGGATGGTTACTTCTGAACATATATAGAGTGCATTTCCATTACCACTGTGCAAATTCAGCCCACTTCCATATCTCTTAAATGAGGGTGTGCAGTTTCCTAGCAACCATGAGCCCCATAATTTATAAAGTACTGATTTTAATGTAAATCTGTCAATAGTTTGTACATTCTGCCTTTTATTTTTATATTCCCAGTATATGCTATCCAAAGTGGGAATGTGGGATTTTGACATTTTCCTGTTTGACCGCTTGACAAATGGTAAGTTGCATAAAATACCTTTCAGAGAACATTATTGATTCTTAATCATTGCCTTTAGGTTTCTCCACCATCCTTAAATCTTTTATTGCTGAAGTTTTTACCTATGTGTCAGTTTTCCTAAATGAAGGGAAGGGTTTAGAAGTGTGCATGGCTGCAGTCACATCATCATGTATTGCAGAATCTGTTCCATACAGAATCTGGTGGCATGTGCAAACTTCTGAAAAAATGCAATCCATTTTCAAGAGCCCAATTTCTAGCTCCCATGGTTGTGGGAAAAGGCTGACAATATACGTATGCTGAAGAGATGTCAAAAGGCAGTAGAGATTTGGCTATTGACACCATTATTCCTGGCAGCCTTGAAGCATAGAAATACTCATTTCCCTCAATCACCTAGATCTTGTTTTTTTAAAAAACAACAACACAAAAAACATATCCAGACCATTTTCTGCTATAACCCAGAATTTGTCTTGCAAATAATTTAAGAAAACTATGATGCAATTTTCTTGGGAATTGTTTTTCAATGTTATTTGGTTGAAAAATATATATGCTATTATCTCCTCCTAGCTCTTGAAGCAGAGCAATTTAAATAGCAACAATTCATTTTAGTTTCCAGAATTTGCAGAACTTTTAGACATGTAGGAGGATAGTCAGTGCTAGTTCTACTCAGAGTAGACCCATTGACATTAATGGACACTTTGGTTCATTAATTTTAACGGGTTTACTCTGAGAAGGCTGTAGTTGAAGACAACCCCTTGGAATTTTGAGTGTGAATACAAGACAGTTCACCACACCAAACTATTTGCACAAAATTGCTATCTACCCTACAGGCACATTGTGGGACCACAAGCCAGTACCGCCACCAGCAGTCTCACTGTATTTAACTGGAGATGGTAGGCTATGAACAGGGGATCTTGTTTGTGCAAGCCATTTATATTACCCACCAAGCTATGCCCCCTCCAATCCTATGGCCCTTATTTTGGGGGACGCTTCTGAAAATACCATTACGAGAGGGATTTTCTTGCCATTGGGGTAACATGAGTCTATGCGTTAACATAACTGAGAAGCAGAAGGAAGGTTTTCAGGCTTACGGAGCCTGCATTTCTGGGTCCCCAGCAAAGCCATTATGAATTATAGAAGGCTGCATTCTAGTGAAATCACCCGCAGGGCCCTTCCAACTCTACAATTTTATGATTCTAATAACTTGCATATCCGTGGACAGCGCTAGCGGGGCAAGACAGTAACACAATTAACAAGGTTGCTAAATACAGTAATACCTTGGGTTATAGACGCTTCAGGTTACAGACTCTGCTCTCCAAGAAATAGTACCTCGGGTTAAGAACTTTGCTTCACGATGAGAACAGAAATTGCATGGCGGTGGTGCAGCGGCAGTGGAAGGCCCCATTAACTAAAACGGACCTCCAGAACGAATTAAGTTCTTAACCCGAGGTACCACTGTATGGGGGTTTTTTTCATCCAGTTAATGCACGTCTGTCTGTTCCCTCAGGAAACAGCCTTGTAACCTTGCTGTGCCACCTCTTCAACGTACATGGGCTTATCCACCATTTTCAGTTAGACATGGTTACATTACACAGATTCTTAGGTAAGTACTTCTTCCCTCTTTCTAGTAAAATAAAATAATAATAATAATAATAATAATTAATAATAATAATAATAATTTATTTATACCCCGCCCATCTGGCTGAGTTTCCCCAGCCACTCTGGGCAGCTCCCAATTGAGTGTTAAAAACAATACAGCATTAAATATTAAAAACTGCCCTAAACAGGGCTGCCTTCGGATGTCTTTTAAAAATAGGATAACTGCTTATTTCCTTGACATCTGATGGGAGGGCATTCTACAGGGCGGGCGCCACTTCCGAGAAGGCCCTCTGCTTGGTATAATATGTTCTTCTTTAGTGTGGGTTAGTGTGACATTTCCTTTATCAGTCTTTGGTAAGTTGAAATTGAACAGTTACATGGAAGGCTCAGCTTCAGCAGCAAACCTGTACAATTCTCATTTCTTATGATAATGGGAGTGGGATAGCTGTAAAGTTGGAAAGTTGACCCATTCCAGAACTGGAATAAACATATTATCTAGAGAATCTTAAAATGCTAAGTTGTTGTTTTTAAGTGATAATCCAGATTCAGAATATCCTCTACCTTAGTGCAGGGGTGATTTTGGAGGACCATATTTTGAGGCCATTTCCAGATAGGTAGTAGCTGTGTTAATCTCTTGCAACAGAAAACGCAGGTACCAACATATTAATATTCATATAGAAAAGCAATCTTATATAATTATGCAATCATAGATTCTCCTCCTGTCCTCCACAAATACTATTTATTTTTCTTCTGATTCCATGCTTTCATGAAGAACAATAAAGGGTGATTTATAAAATAGGCTTCAAAGCCTTTAAAAGTCTGGCAAAGCTTTTCTAGCATGTGGGTGCGTTTTTCTTCCACCAAGGGACAGTCTTGTAAGAGTGCCAAGCCACTGGGTTCTTTTTAAGAAAGAGCTTCAGTGGGTTGAATTCAAGACATAAATCCAAAGTTTCAAAATGACCAAACATATTTTAATCACATATTCAAAGAATGATCATGTTTTGGGGTAAGAGTCAGTGGTGTAGTGGTAAATTCTGAAGTGCTGGCACTCTGCATGACAATCCCTATAGCATTAGCCATTCTGCCTATGCAACAAAAATGAACTTTTGACCAATGTAGGCATTATGAATTCAGTGCCAAACCAGCTTTCCTCTCACTTCCACTCCTGCTTAACATCTCCCCCTTCTGGTTTGCTTAACATCCAGCCTGATGAAGAATTTTCTTGGACTCAAGAGCTTGGTCACTATTTTGTGACATTTTGGTTGGTCTCGACTTTTGAATGCTTCAAAATATAAGTGACACTTTAACCCTTTGCCTTCTAGCACTGTTAAGGGCTACACCAATTCTTTATCTTCTTTTACTTCTAGTTATGGTGCAAGAAGATTACCATAGTCAAAACCCATACCACAATGCTGTTCATGCTGCTGATGTCACCCAAGCTATGCACTGCTACCTAAAGGAGCCCAAGGTAACCAAACTCCTTCCCTCCTAAGAATTGTTAAGATAATTTCTCAACAGGAAATACTGACACCATTCTACTAATGAAAGACAAATGCATTCCTTAAGATGTATATTGGGGTTTTTTGCTTGTGGATTGACTGAGTTGCTGTGAAGATTGGGATCTACTGGCAGATCTGCTGATCAGCAACGGTTTCTTAGTTGTTTAAAAATGACAACAAAATTACACAAACACACAGAAATTATGAAGCTCAAATGAAGAAAGCTGCAAGGGCAGGGGGTTTCAGTGGGTCCACACTGAGTAACAGATAGCTGACTACCACCCAAAGTATCTTAGGCATGCATATCCTTTGCTTGGAACATATGAAGGACCTATAAGGCAATCTTAAATCCAGTGTCACCAAATCAATAGAACAGCTGATGAATATATCTGTAGGTATGTACTCTGCTTATGCAGCACCTTTTCCATTTGTTTAGAGCCCTCAGTTAAGCTGTTCACAGCTACATTATTAATGAATGCCAGCCAGCAACAGAACAGCTGGATCCGCCGCCCCCCGTCATAAATCAAAGGGTGCTACACCGACTTTTGAGATTTGCTAAAAATAATGCTTTTTTACAATGCACTACTTTTACTCACCATTAATATCTGTCATTGTGGCAGTAGTGCATGAGGTTTGGCTGGTATCACTTGTATCTGCATTATCCTTTGGCAGATTTTCAAAAGGTATTTACACGCAACACCCACCTCCCCATTTGAACATTGTTTTGATTGCTGGCACCTCAACCATTTGTTTCAACTGAGGTCACTTCCAGGCATTCATCCTGATTTGTTTACACAAAGTTTGTGACGTTAGGCACTGTCAGCTACCTATTGAGCATACATTCAGATTTGTTTGTAGGGAGGTTATAAAATGTTGCATTGAGCAAATGGTATCCCACACTTCCCAGGGCTTTTTCTTGTCACTTTTACGCAAAAGGTCTGGTTTTTGTTTTTATAAGAAGGGGGTTTCTTTGTGCTAAAATGCCACATCAACTGCACAACTGGATTTGCTAGTATGTGACTAAATCCCACTCAAATATAGCAGAAGTCTGGAAGCACCCCAAGTGTACTGCTGCAAAAATCAATAATGTGGAGCTGCAATATAAACTCAAGAGCCTTTATGACCTCATCAGTGTCATGCAAATGAGCTACATAGTGAACTTACTCTGCATTGTCATAAAAGTTGAACAGTTTTATGGGCATGAGTTCGCTTAACTGTGAATGGTGAGCAACAGCTCTCATATTTCATTTAACCCTGATTTTTTGCATGGTTGCAGCTTGCCAACTTCCTCACACCTCTGGACATCATGCTTGGACTACTAGCTGCTGCAGCACATGATGTAGATCATCCAGGAGTAAACCAACCATTTTTGATAAAAACCAAACACCATCTTGCCAGTTTATACCAGGTGAGAATGTACTTATGTCTCAAAAGTTATACAAGTGCAATTTTAGATTTTTATTATAGCTTAGCTGCATTTTATATTGCAGCACTACAATTGCAACATTAGGTTTTCTATCTTAGGAAGGAGTCATGTAAACTCTGGAACCATTTCTGGATACGAATCTTTCACAATTCTTCTCCCTTATACAAACAAACGTTCTAGTCACCATCACAAATAATCAGATATCATTATATCCAGGGATGTCTATATGCTGCTCCTTCCTTTTCTTTTTCAAGTTGAGTTTTGGCATCTAGGCAACCCAACTTTTGTGAGTAGAACATCTGAACTTGGTAACTCGTGAAAATTAAACTGATTTGTATAATTTTTCCTGTTTCGCACAATACATTTTGTTTTTTGTTTTTTTTTTGGTCTTGGGGAGAAAAGTGGAGCTATGTAGACACTGGAAAACTTCCCCTCACACTTATCTCAGGTGCTATAAACTTTTTTTTAAAAAAAAAAAAGTTATATTCCCATTACAACATTCAGTGCTATTCTATATTTCTATGGAATCCTACCCAAAGCGACTTTTCAGAGAAGACCCCAGTTCAAAATGAAGAGCTGTTTCACACAGATACACTGCTTTCATAGAATCATAGAATCATAGAGTTGGAAGAGACCACAAGGGCCATCGAGTCCAACCCCCTGCCAAGCAGGAAACACCATCAGAGCACTCCTGACATATGGTTGTCAAGCCTCTGCTTAAAGACCTCCAAAGAAGGAGACTCCACCACACTCCTTGGCAGCAAATTCCACTGTCGAACAGCTCTTACTGTCAGGAAGTTCTTCCTAATGTTTAGGTGGAATCTTCTTTCTTGTAGTTTGGATCCATTGCTCCGTGTCCGCTTCTCTGGAGCAGCAGAAAACAGCCTTTCTCCCTCCTCTATGTGACATCCTTTTATATATTTGTACATGGCTATCATATCACCCCGTAACCTCCTCTTCTCCAGGCTAAACATGCCCAGCTCCCTTAGCCGTTCCTCATAAGGCATCGTTTCCAGGCCTTTGACCATTTTGGTTGCCCTCCTCTGGACACGTTCGAGTTTGTCAGTGTCCTTCTTGAACTGTGGTGCCCAGAACTGGACACAGTACTCCAGGTGAGGTCTGACCAGAGCAGAATACAGTGGCACTATTACTTCCCTTGATCTAGATGCTATACTCCTATTGATGAGGCCCAGAATTGCATTGGCTTTTTTAGCTGCCGCGTCACATTGTTGGCTCATGTCAAGTTTGTGGTCAACCAAGACTCCTAGATCCTTTTCACATGTACTGCTCTCAAGCCAGGTGTCCCCCATCTTGCATTTGTGCCTCTCATTTTTTTTGCCCAAGTGCAATACTTTACATTTCTCCCTGTTAAAATTCATCTTGTTTGTTTTGGCCCAGTTCTCTAATCTGTCAAGGTCGTTTTGAAGTGTGATCCTGTCCTCTGGGGTGTTAGTCACCCCTCCCAGTTTGGTGTCATCTGCAAATTTGATCAGGATGCCCTTGAGTCCATCATCCAAGTCGTTGATAAAGATGTTGAATAAGACCGGGCCCAAGACAGAACCCTGTGGCACCCCACTAGTCACTCTTCTCCAGGATGAAGAGGAACCATTGATGAACACCCTTTGGGTTCGGTCAGTCAGCCAGTTACAAATCCACTGAGTGGTAGCATAGTCAAGACCGCATTTTACCAGCTTCTTTACAAGAATATCATGGGGCACCTTGTCAAATGCCTTGCTGAAATCAAGGTAGACTACATCCACTGCGTTCCCTTCATCTACCAGGCTTGTAATTCTGTCAAAAAACGAGATCAGGTTAGTCTGACATGACTTATTTTTCAGAAATCCATGCTGACTATTGGTGATCACAGCATTCCTTTCTAGGTGCTCACAGACTGTTTGCTTAATGATCTGCTCCAGAATCTTCCCTGGTATTGATGTCAGACTGACTGGGCGGTAATTATTTGGGTCCTCTCTTTTCCCCTTTTTGAAAATAGGGACAACATTTGCCCTCCTCCAGTCTGCCGGGACTTCGCCTGTTCTCCAGGAATTCTCAAAGATGACTGCCAGTGGTTCTGAAATCACATCTGCCAGTTCTTTTAATACTCTTGGATGCAGTTCATCTGGCCCTGGAGACTTGAATACATCTAGACTAGCCAAGTATTCTTGTACTATCTCCTTAGTTATTCTGGGTTGTGTTTCCTCTGCTGAATCATTTGCTCCAAATTCTTCAGGTCGGGCATTGTTTTCTTTATCGGAGAAGACTGAGGCAAAGAAAGCATTGAGGAGTTCAGCCCTTTCTGTGTCCCCTGTTTGCATTTCACCATCTTCTCCTCTGAGTGACCCCACGGTTTCTTTGTTCTTCCTTTTGCTACGAACATACCCATAAAAGCCTTTTTTGTTGCTTTTAACCTCTCTAGCAAGCCTGAGTTCATTTTGTGCTTTAGCTTTTCTGACTTTGTGTCTACACGTGCTGGCTATTTGTTTGAATTCCTCTTTGGTGGTTTCCCCCCTTTTCCATTTTTTGTACACATCCTTTTTTAATCTTAACTCAGTTAAAAGTTCTTTAGATAGCCACCCTGGCTTCTTTAGGCACCTTCCATGTTTCCGTCTCATTGGTATTGCCTGAAGTTGTGCTTTTACTATCTCCCTCTTAACAAACTCCCAGCCATCTTGAACTCCCTTTCCTTTTAGTATTACTGTCCATGGGATCTCACCCAGCACTTCCCTAAGCTTTATAAAGTCGGCTTTCTTAAAGTCGAGAAATTGAGTCCTAGTATGCTTGGCTGCTCCTTTCCGCTGTATAGTAAACTTCAGAAGAGCATGATCACTCGCGCCTAATGATCCTTCCACTTCTACCCCACTAACCAGGTCATCAACATTGGTTAGGACCAGATCTAAAATGGCTGTTCCATTTTACTAGTGACTAGCTACATCTTTGTTCCCTGTGCTCCCCCACCCTCTCCACTTATTATATGGTGGATGAGTTACCTGTTTGGCACAGGTTACCTAAATGACAATATAGCATGCCCTCTGGCATCCCACAGAACCCCTTCCTGATTTAAAGTAGGCAGTGGTGACTGGGAGGTGGGGCTGGAGAGAAGCAGTTGGCCTTTCCCTAGATATTCTTAAGAAATTGGAAAGTTTCAACTCTCATCCTCAAAACATAAAGTACAGTGTGCACAGAGGGGATTTCCAAAGACTGCACCCATGTCTTCAAAAAAGAATGCACAGCAAGCAGTTGCTTTTGTATCTGAAATGTGTAACTGTGGTCAGAGAACCTTAGGATTTATTATGCTAGTACAGGTTGTATTTTATACTACCTAATTCACTGGCCACTCTCACTTGTGCTCTGCTTGTTTCTGGTGAACTAGATTAGTGCAATTGAGTCTGTAACCAGCTCTCTGGGGAATCCTGGTTTTCTGTTGAACTAATTGGGGATGGAGGGGAGAGGGAGAGAGAGAGAGAGAGAGAGAGAGAGAGATTCTCTTCAGCTCTCACTACCATCTATACTTTCTCCCTGGAGATGTCAGTTGTGTAACAGGCCAGACTGTCCTTCTACACTAAGATAAAGCAACAGACAGGGCTATGAGAGCCAAGGCTGTGACAGAAGGATGCTGAGATATCCTGTGACTAACTCAGCTTGCTCTATCTGTTTTGACAAGCCATAGCCAAACATAGATATACCACTGTGATGATCTGGGGCACTGCTCCAGACTCCTCCAAATGTCAGGGGTTCTGGACAGGAGGAAAAGAAAACTCTGAGGAACATTATTATCCTATGAAATAAATGCAGATTATTCTTTGAGAACTGTACAGTCTTCACAGATAAACCAAAATGTTACATAATATAATCACAAGACATACAGATAAACTGCTATGTCAGGAATCTTCATAAGTATATTTTCCAAGTGTCCTCATCCTCACATGAACAACCACATCTCAGAGGGCATCCTATTTTAGGAAACCCACATCATGCTAACTTCAAAAGAAAGAATCTAGAGAGCAATATCATAGTTCCATCAGAAGACGGGCTCAACAAACCAATTTACAAATTATAAAGCAAGCAAGAAACCTTAGTCTTGTAACGAAACAAGATTCAGACAAAATTACCTCCATTTTTATTTTACATCTGTTGGTTTAGAGTGTTCAATATAATTGTGGAGGCATATCTGAGGCATTCGTTACTGTAAGGCTCCTCAAGACAATATTTTTTAATTAAATACTCATCCTGATTTGCTTTCACAAAGCTTATGCAGGTCTGGTTTTTATTGAGCATTCAGTCCAACTTGTTTGCAGGGTGGTTATATGACAATGAACATTCATCCCAATTTTATTTATTTATTCCATACAATTTAGATACAGCTTGATTATTTTTTAAAAAAACCACCACCTCCAAGTAGTTTACAAATTTCAACCTGATTTGTTTGCATAGTGGTTATAAGTCTTCTTGTTAATCATTATCCCACACTTTTTACTTCATTTCCCCATCACTTTCCTAACTGCAAAAAGTCAAGTGGTTTTTTTAAGTGCATTTGCTGTGCCAGAGTGCTTTAACCCAATTGCACAAGCCTAATTTTCTGGTATGTGGCTGAATGTCTCCTGGTTGCAGTATCTCAAAGTATGTGAAGAGCTGTAGTAAAATACCACATGTAAGGGCAATTTCAGGTGTGTTTTGAAAGTGCATGTGTGGATACAGTGTGTAAAAATATAAGTCTGATGTTTGTTTCAAGCCTGTTAGAACAGCATGCTTTAAAATGTAGCATGACATTGGAACAGTGCCCCCTGTATCACTATCACATACACAAGGAGCAGCATCTACTTTATTTTAAAAGTTCCAAAACATGTTTAAATTACTTTTTTTAAAAAATCCAACCCCCCTTAGCACTCACAATGGTTCTTCTTACACATTTTGGCATAACAGCTTGTCAGTCATTTGCTGATGCATGTTGATGTGTGCAAAAATGCTAGTTGCAAATAATGAAAAAGCAGCATTTATGTCAAACATTAGACACCACTAAATGTGAGTGCATACAGGAATAAGGTTGTTGCATGAATAATTCCAGAAGAAAATGTGTTATTTCTAGTACATTCCATCATTTATGCATGACAAAGCTGCCTTTTGTGACTGGAGATTTCCAGATGGGAACAGCATGTACCAAGTACCATAATTTGCTTCCCAAAGTACAAAGTTCTGATTTGAGCCCCTGATGCCACAAGGACAGCAGGGGAGCTTTGAACAATGATGACAAGGACCTTGGAACCACAGTTCCCACTATGAAAAACGCCTTGTTATCGCGCAGACTTTGCCTCCAACTTTCATAGGCAATTACAAATGAAAACATGAGCTCTTGTTTTCTTCCTGCTTTCCTGCCTTGTCATTATAGATCACAAGGTACAGTCAGTGTTAATCATAGCAGCACCAGAACATACAAAATTAACACACGTATAAGGGAATTACATTAGTTAGTTGAGGACTCATAGATAGATAAATTTATTGTCATTGTCCGTATATACACAGTATACACAACAACGAAAATCAAACACCCACCCAAAGACCGGGTTCACATACACATTTGCACGTATCTCCAACACTCTCATCCTATTCAGACATAATCTATAAAAACATAACATAATCCAGAATATAACATAACCTATTAAAGGCATAACATAACCTAAAACCTATCTCATTCCTTCCTACTCCCTGCTTGCTATTTCTTGCAACTGGCCCTGAGATCATTATTTAGTGCAATCAGAGCTCTTGGATAGAAACTATTCAGAAGGCGTGATGCTGTTACACTGGTAAAGCTAAGGAGGGAGCCCTGCTACCCATTTCATTCCAAACAACTGATGTACAATGGTTCAAGTGTGTAATTGGAGCGATGTAGTCCTGACTGGTGAATAGGACCGGGGAATAATTCATGCAGCAACCATTGGTCTGTGCAGTTTCCCATTCAGTTAGGGAAACATGCACTGATGCCTGTTCCTCCATGCACATGGACTTCATTGGGCTGAGAATCTTTTTGGTTATTTGTTTCCTCCTCCAGAATGTCTCTGTATTAGAAAATCATCACTGGAGATCTACAATAGGCATGCTTCGAGAGTCAAGGCTGCTTGCACATCTGCCAACAGAAGAGAGGTAAGCACCATCCACTAGGAAACTTAAGAAACATGGTATTTTCCAGAAAATTTTGACTCTGACAACTTCGTAACTCCCCTGCATACAGGGAGGTATGCAGAGTATTGATGTGAATAAAAGAAAATACGCATCCTAGGGATAGCCGTCTGAAAAAAGTAAAATTACAACATTAAAATTGCCCAGTTTGACAGGTATTGCATGCATTCTAGCGTTCAGCTGAAACACACACACACACACACAAATTTTGTATCTGAGATGAAACATGGTTCCCATTTCAACAATTGCAGTGATGGAAGGGAGGGTTTGGCAAATTTCAGGTGTGTGCGAGAGAGAGAGAGGGAGAGAGAATCAGTGACTGCTATTGTATTTTCTCAAAATTACCCAGAAATTTATTATTCTGGGGCCATCACCACCACACATCCCTTGTGGGTGCTCTTTTGTGCGTTGAACATTTCTAAATAATGTTCTTGAACTGCAAGCCAGGGCATTCTGGGGGAAAACAGCCACCACTCGGTAGTCAACACAAGCAGCTCTGCTGCTGCTGAAGAGACAGCAAAGCACATTAAAGGAGAACTATGCTGCCACCTCTGACCCCAAAGTCATTTTGCAAGGTAATTTTGTGCTGCCCACACCCACTAGAATAGCTTGATTTTCCTCATACATTTGAGCTGAACGTGCCAATATTCAGTCTTTGGACTCTGCCTTAATCAATTCGCTGTGCTACTAAGTCATTTTATGAAACAATATACTTTTAGAAATGGGAACAAATTTTGGTAGGGGGGAGGAATTGTGGATAAATGAAAAAAAAATCTCCCATCCTTCTATTTTTCATGGACAAAATAATGTCACAGTTCATTGTCTGACTAAAGTAACAGCAGATAAGACAGACCAAAGAGAAAAATACCGGCTTACCTTATTTTGTTTACATTCCATTTAACCTTTGGGTATAGGGCAATATATAAATTCAATAATAATAACCACCTGAGGTATACATGAATAGGAACCTTCTATCTTGGACCAGGGCAATGTAAAACACCCGGCTGCAAATAAAGTCAGCATAAAGCAGTGATGGCCAAACTTGGCCCTCTGGCTGTTTTGGGACTACAACTCCCATCATCCCTGACCACTGGTCCTGTTAGCTAGGGATGATGGGAGTTGTAGTCCCAAAATAGCTGGAGGGCCAAGTTTGGCCATCACTGCCATAAAGCCTCAAAAAGCTTCTCTGGAAAGCCATACATTTTCCTTCACCACTTGCTATTTGAGCTTGTTATGATGAGAGAGCCAATTAAGTAATTGAGCGATTCTAACCAATTACCAGGATGCAGTTAGTGGTCATGTGTTGATAGTTGCTAAACCAGTTCAGAGTGTTTGCTTCTGGGAGTGGGGAGAAAACTTTTGGAACATAATTGTGAAGAAGTATACCAATGTGAGTTCAGCAATGGTGCATTAAACCGGATGTGCTAAATAAGGACTGCTACAACAATTGGCATCCCCAAACACCAAAAGATAGATGATATGAAGAGGTATTAATAATGCCTTGCTCAAAACACACTCTTCCTTTTTAAACTACAGGCATGATATTGAACAACAGCTGGGCTCCCTGATCTTGGCAACAGACATCAACAGGCAGAACGAATTTCTGATCCGGTTGAAAGCTCATCTCAAAAATCAGGATTTGAAAATGGAGGATGCTCCTGATAGGCATTTTATGCTTCAGGTAAATGTAAAGATTTTCATACCTCTTTCTGTGAACACATAACCCGTGTGTGTTTGTATTCATACATTCAATGTGTGGATTGCCTTGACAAACTATCAAACACTCTATGTCGGGTCCTTTTGTAATACACATGCAGAACAGGGAACAGCATACCACTTTTCTCCTGCTACTTATGGAGCAGAGCTTTCATCGCCATATAGTTACATCAAGATTGATATAGGAGCAACAAGTGCTTGTGAACATATGTAGTGTTTGGGGGTATTCTGGTTTACCTAGGCTGCTCCCAGAGGAGGCATTTATTGTATAAGTGATATACCCTGTTTACTCATGTTTAACAGAAGGGCTAAACAATGCAGTCATCATCCTGTAACCTTCCTATATTTCCCAGCACTACTTCTGTCATTTTACCTATCTCCCAAAAAATCTATGATGAAAGGAGTGGAATAGCAGCACATTCCTTCTGCAGTTGCAGACAGGAAAAAAGTAAAACTGAGGCACAGTCGGAGTTGATTCTGGGAAGCTAAATGACATGCTAGAGATGCCATTACATTTCTGGTTGCAAAGCCATTTCATGTCCTGCACTGCAGATAAGGGGAATTCTCTCTGGAGAATTAGAAGGGGGGGCGGTCCATTGAAAACAGCAGGGTTTACTTTTGAATAAACGTAATAGGTGTGGTTCCAGATGGAATCTTGTATGGCTTCAGTCCTCTTGTCTCAGGCTGAAAGTGCTGGTTTTTTGTTTTGTTTTTTACATGATTTTAAAAGATCAGAACACAATTGTGCTACAGTTCGTGCATTTTTATTGGTGCACCCAAGTAAAAGCTAGCAAAGCTCTCACCAGTGTTGGCTTTTTGTTTCTTGAAAGCCATTTAAACAAGCAGGCATCGGTTTCAAAACATTAGAGGAGACAACAGGGAAAGAAGGCAGCAGAACAGCAACTATTGAACATCACTGTAGTGTAAAAGATTCCCGGTGTTACTTTTCTGACTTCTTTTAAGGCTCAGCCTAATTAATTACTTCCTCTTTTTACAACTGTTTGGCCCCTTAATTACAAAGAGCAGTTTCTCTGGTTGCAAGGAATCCTCTGTTAGCAAGGTGTTTTTTTAGAATGCCTGGGACAGAAAGGGAACTAAAGAACGCATTGCTTGGTTGAGAGAAGATGGCTGTAATGTCCTTGCATAGCCCCTTTTCTTTAAAAACACCCTAATTAAATTGCTGCCTCTCCTAGAGGGAGTTGTCCTCACTCTCTACACACTGCTGTTTGCGCTTTTAAATTTTTTGGTATATGAAGAGCACAATTACAATGTAACAAAATTCTAGTTGCCAAACTGCCTAGAAAAGGCAAACATTAAATTGCTAGCTGGGTTGTGAAGAAAAAGGAAGGACCTAGAAACCAAACACAGCAATGTTTCCTTGATAGTAAGGCTATGATCCTCTTGCACTGGGTTGCACTCTTTTAAGTTATGCAATTGTATTATCGTGGAATATCGAAACTGGCCATGAAAAAAAAAGTGCATGCACACCAGTTCAAAACTGGGTGCTGAAATGGTGACGAAAGGCAAGAGAAAGTATGTGGTGACAATGTGGAGTCAGTAAAGGGGAGGGGACAATACTTCCCACTGGTCTATGGCCCATCATGGTGTAGACAGAACAGAGCAAGATGCTGACACCAAACAAGTGCCACACCTCTGGAAACATGGACAGTGAATGACATGTCAACTTGTGCCTTCCAACAGAAGAGCAATAATTTGGCAGTGCTAGAAGCCCTCCATCTGGAAGCATTCCTAGGCTAGTTAGATTGAGTGAGACCACTGAGGTTGTGTTCCGTGGGGCACATATAACCCAGCCACTGTATTATACACTTCCATATAAAAAATCACAATACAGTGGTGCCCCACAAGACGAATGCCTCGCAAGACGAAAAACCCGCTAGACGGAAGGGTTTTCCATTTCGGAGGCGCTTCCCAAGACGAATTTCCCTATGGGCTTGCTTTGCAAGATGAAAACGTCTTGCGAGTCTTGCCCTTCCCCCCCCGCTCCCCCCCTTTTTCAAAGCCGTTAATAGCCTTTTAGCAGCTTAGCCTTTAATAGCCACTAAGCCGCTAATAGCGCTAATCCGCTTAGCCGCTAATGGGCTTGCTTTGCAAGACGAAAAAACCGCTAGACGAAAAGAATCGCGGAACGGATTCTTTTCGTCTTGCGAAGCACCACTGTAGTAACTGAGATGGAAGAAATTAAATGTACATATTTTTCTGTAGAGTACAGTGGTACCTCGGGTTACAGACGCTTCAGGTTACAGACTCCGCTAACCCAGAAGTAGTACCTTGGGTTAAGAACTTTGCTTCAGGATGAGAACAGAAATCGCATGGTTGTGGCACAGCGGAGGCAGCGGGAGGCCCCATTAGCATTGTGGTACCTCAGGTTAAGAACAGTTTCAGGTTAAGAACAGACCTCTGGAACAAATTAAGTTCTTAACCCGAGGTACCACTGTACAAGAAATGGTAGAGGGAGATAAAGGGGCTGTTGAGAAGTGATGCTGGTTCTGGTTACACATGGCTGAGGTTTAGCTATTCTAGCAATGAGCATCATAAACAATGTTGGTTGCTGGGGTGGGGTGGGGGAGTACTTGAATGCCTTGGTTCTCTCCAATCTGCTAAGCTGCCTACAAGATTCACAGTGGGGGGTGGGGGTTTCACCTATATCTTTTCTCTGTTGGATTTTCTATTACCTTTCCTCTCTGAGATTCATACAGCATAAAATTTGGCATTCATAGTTTGCTTTCCAAAGAGATTCTCTCAGCACTTGAACACAAACAAGTACCAAATTTCAGGAACCAGGCTTCTCAAAAATTAGTGGTCCTGCTGATGGGAACATAATAATTCTCATGTGGCTGCATATATTATGGGAACATTTAATGCAGCATGTAAACTTTGGGGCTGAAGGTACGTCAGCCTCTGTTACTGAGACAGAGTTCTGCTCCAAATATCTTCCCTTTACAGAGAAATACCAGCAAAAATAAATGGCATCACATGAAAATCTTAAATGGATTTTGCAGATTATGTCTGAGTAGAAAAAGCTGCAATTAAACTACTTATTTTTGGTGAGAGGATATTCCCCACTTCTAAAGAGTTCAGCAAAAATATACAAGTCCCTTGTTCTATTAAAATAAAGCCTCACCCTTAATGCATTTTGTTTCCATTATAGAAGAGGCTCTGGATTGTATTTTATTGAATATTTATACCATTATAGCAGCAGAGATGCTAGATGCTACTATATAGCAGTTAAAGTGTGCTGCTATTCCTCTCCACTTACCTGATGCAGCTCCTCAGAAAAGATGTATTTAACACTTTTTCTTACTCAAGTGTGCACTGAAAGTTATTCCAGAGAGACGTATCCTAAAGCCATTTAGACAACAGTGAACTTCAAGTTATAATGAATTATGCTGCATATTACTATGCATCAATGGCTGGTGTCCGGTTAACTATGAAAATGATACGGTACAGTCCTGCACCTAGTTAGCCTTATTATTTATCTTATCAGCATACTACTACTAATGTGCTTCATGGAACATCTAAGCAGACTGCCATGCACAATTCTGCAGGTGAAGCTTTGACAATCAACGTAAATCCAACTAGGAAGCATTTCACTTCTGCAATTTCTGCTAATCAGGCATCTTACTAAAGGCAGGAGATCCCTGCCAGAAAAGGAGCTGGTAGACCTTCTTTTTGCCCAGTATCAAGAATCATTTCCCCTAACTTTGTTAGAAGTGAATGCCAAGCCATCCCTAAATATTTCTAATCTGCTACATTGTACCTATCACGTCTCGCTTGGCTGTTCTTCAGAGGGCAGTGACAAAGCCAAATCTAATTTAGGCTCAGAAAGACTCAAATTGGTTGTTCTAGCTGTAATGCAGTAGGTAATAGGATCTTCAGACTAAGGTCCCACTATTATGGTTATTAACCTGAAATATAACTTGCGCTGATTGCTTAACAAAAGAAATGACAGTAGAAGATGCCTCCTACTTCATAGCTTTTAGCTTTAAAAAAAAAAGCTTAGATCATTATTCCATTTCAAATGGAAAACCCGCCTGCAGACTGCTTAACATAGCTGCTACTGTGGAGGAGTCAGAGGAACAAATCACGAAGCAGATGCTGCTTCTTCCGAAGCATAATTACAGGCTTACCTGTCTATCTTGCCTCTAGTCTCTCACACCTTGTACTTAATGTTCTTTGACCAAAATAGTATTTCACATGTTCATGGCATAGCCATATTTGCATGAAAGATAAAAGGAGACAACAAAATGAACTCCTCCTCACAGGGGCTGAGATATTTCATGTGTGATCAGAAGCAGTATTTGGGATGAGGGAAATGAGAATAAAAGCCACCTAGTAATCATAAAAAGAACAAGTCACACAGCGTAAAACAGCTGCCCTGATATATACCCTCACCCAATGAAATAAGTCACTAGGACCACAGCATGGTACTCAAGCATTCTTCCCCTACAGTGTCTTCCTGATTTTGTCTTTAGCCAAAGTATATAGGCTAAAGCATTCTACCTCAGAAGGAAAATTCCTGATGTTGATGAACAACTTGTGGGGGTAAAATTTAGAAGTGAGCAAATTGATTAAACTGAGTAATGCACTTTCTGGTTGCTTAATGAATAGCGTATCAAGAATTAAGTATTTGGGTATGAATGCTCTTGCTGTTCAATCAACTGATCAATTTTGTGATTAATATCTTATGAGATTTAATTCAGGATTTAGACTATTTAACTGAAAGATCTAATGAAATGATTAATGAACTGATGTTTATTATAATTAAGTAGCAATGCTAATATAAGGACTACCAAGGCATCAGAAACTTTAAAAAGTTGAAGTTATGCTAGAACATATCACGTAGTTTGTGCTCCGTCTATTTTTGGTCAAAGTTTTCAAAAGATTGGATTCACAGACCTGCTGTGGGCCACCTGAATGAAGCTCATGGAACATTCAGGGTAGTTTGGAAACACCTCATGCAACAATCTACAAATCTAAGACCAGAACCAGCTAAAAATTATTATGCACCTGAAATTAAAGGGTGTGTTATCTGATCTATATCTGAACAGGAGCCAAGTTATGTTACAAAGTGGGAAAACAAAGCTGGCAAATGGAGGAAACTCGGGGTTATGCATCTCTAGAGTCTAGCAAAAAATCATGACAATGGCAATACCAAAGTCAATGTATCATATAAGGCAGAATAAAAACAGAATGCAGAAGCATTCTGGAAATTTTCAGGTACCAAGGTTCCCATGGACAAACCTGGATCCATAAAAATGGTTAATTAACATTTAAGACAATGTATTTGCTTTATGCAAAACAGAACTCTATATGTTAGCCTATTGGCTAGAATTGACTTTGTTTTATACCATCACTATTATTATTATTTTGACCCAAGTATTCTGTGGGTTATTAGGAGTGGGGGACACTTGCTTTTAGATGGTACTTTTGAAGTTGTGTGTTTATTTCATTTGAAGTTTCTCCCCTTTCAATTTTATTCTTATTCATGAAAAATCTAGTAACTCCCAAAAAATGTGCTGAATTAAACTTTTAATACTGGACTGAGCAATCCTTGTGCCCATAAACAGTGGTGTTCTTGGCACAACAGACATTAGGCCTATACTACACATTCGTTTTGAATGTATGGAGTGCATTATCTTTTACTGCGTCATTCATACCATCTTGTCCTTATTTCCAGATTGCGCTAAAGTGTGCAGACATCTGCAATCCTTGCCGGCTCTGGGAGATGAGCAAACAGTGGAGTGAACGGGTTTGTGAGGAATTCTACAGGCAAGGTCAGCAGGCTCATACATTTCACTTTGTGTTTCCAGTCACTCAATCCGGTTTTGTTAATGGGAAATGGCATTTACTTATCCCACAGTGCCCAATGCTCACTTTAAGCCTCCCACAAAAATATGCTGACAGAATTGAGGCCTCGTTGAATAAGTGGCTAGGATTAAAGGGCAGAAGTAAGTTAATAGAATTAAGGCTGTTTAATTAGCTGGACTCACAGATATTGCCAACCTGCCAACCTAGCAGTTCGAAAGCACGTCAAAGTGCAAGTAGATAAATAGGTACCGCTCCGGCGGGAAGGTAAACGGCGTTTCCGTGCGCTGCTCTGGTTCACCAGAAGTGGCTTAGTCATGCTGGCCACATGACCCGGAAGCCAGTAAAGCGAGATGAGTGCCGAAACCCCAGAGTCGGTCACGACTGGACCTAATGGTCAGGGGTCCCTTTACCTTTACCTACCAGATATTGGGCAATGATGTCTGAGTTTGCCTGCAAGCATGTATCATTCTTAAAATGCAGTCCTTACAAGTGACAAACCACCTGCAGAAGGGTTTTCAGACAAACTTTTGTCTACTGGTACCTGGTCACATTATACGGTATGATAACATCTGAGGACAAGATGAACCCAACTAACTCAGAAACTTTTCTGTTCTGGACAAATCTCTACTTGCCTCCAAAGTGAGGTATCATTTTGAGCATTGTGCATGTCATTTTGAGTTGCTAATGATTAGAATGCACTTGTCAGGCACACCAAGGGAGATGCCAGTAGATCACACAGTTTCATGTTATCTTTTATTCATTGAGCTTCACATAGTCCTAATTGTTCCAAAAGGGCATTGCAAACATGTCATACAAAATCACAATTTGGTAAGTTACAAGTCATTACAAAATCTTTATTATATGTGTGTTGTTGTTGTTTTAAATTAAATTTTAAAATCATTAATCTATGAAACTAAAAAGTCTAAGAATCTTCAGCCCAGTAACTGAATGACACAAACCAGGATTAAGTAAAATTTCCTAGGGGAAATTAACACTTACCAGGGAGTACATCCCATGGAACTCAATGGGACTTCCTTCTGAGTATCCCATAAAAGCCAAGAGGCTAGCAAGCAGAATGAAGGAAGATATTAGAGGCAAGAAATGGAGAGAGAGAGAGAGAAACCTTACATATATCAGACTGTCATACATATCTATGGTGTGATTGCACTTGGTATGTTGTGTAGTTTTGATTGTACCATCTCAAAAAGGATCTTATAAAGCCGGAAAGGGCTTGAAAAAGGTTCAGAAAGGGGCAACCAAAATGATAAAGGGGATGGAGCAACTTCCCTGTGAAGAAAGGTATATTTGGAGCTTTTTAGTGTGGAAAAAGGGAGATGAATGGGGGATATGCTAGAGATGTATAAAATTATGCATCATGTGGAGAACGTGGATAGAGAGAGGTTTTCCACCACCTCTAAAAATACTAGAAACCATTTTCATCAAATGAAGCTGAATGGTGGGAGATTCAGGACAGGGGAAAGAGAAATACTTCTTCCTGCAACACATAGTTAAACTGTAGAATTCACAACAAAATGTAATAATGAGCACTAGTTTAGTGACAAATTTATGGAAAATAAGGCAATCAGTGGCTACTGGTAGTGGATACTACCAGTATCATACAGGTTTGCTGAGGAGCAGCAGACATGGGGAGAGTGCTGATGTGCTCATTACCTGGTTTGTAGAAATATTGTAAGAATATGTCACTGGACTAATGGGCCTTTGATCTGATCCAGGAGGGCTTCTGGTAGACATTTTTAGGATAGCACTGTTAGGACGCATGGTTTTGTAAAGGCTATTACAATGTGTCTTTTAGACAGCAGTGCAAGAGTACTAGACAATGACAAAGCTTTTTGTTTGTTTGTTTGCACGCACATTTACAGCCTCAAACGTGGTTAGTATATTAATAGACGTTTCTAAACTCTTGTTAACCTGTGTCCTGTATATCACACAGACACAAAAGAACCGCAACCACCCAGATAAGCCTTCAAAAGTTGTTCCTTCTTTCTGGTAGGTGACCTGGAGAAGAAATTTGACTTGGAAGTAAGCCCTCTTTGTAATCAGCAGAAAGACACAATACCTAGTATACAAATTGGTGAGTATGCAATGCCTTCCATCATTAGCTTGATCATAAACCAAATGATGAAGCACAAATAGATTATTTAGTCAAATTAAGTTTTGCAAACAATCCAAGAGACAAATTTAAGCTGCAACAAAAAAGTATATACAAAAAAGGTACATACAGGGCAGATCAGCCCTGTATGGAATCTTTCACTCGCATGATCTGATGCTTTGTCAGACAAATGAAATGCGGGGGGTGGGGTAGGAGAGTGAAAGATTAAATATGAAAAAGAAGGCTCTGACATTTTTAAGGCTGGAAACAGACAGCAGATGGAGAGCTGCATGTGGCGGTAATAGCTCTTTCCCCATGTCCTGTTGCTATGTCAAAACCCATTTTGCAAAATTTTGAAGAAACAGAATAGTCCCACCACCACCTGAAGCCTCCTTACGGAAGGAGTAGATATAATGTAGACACCATGCTCAGTGTTCCTGTTTTCAAATCACTTTCAGCGTTCTGAGGAGAAAAATCTATGTGTAATGGGACAGACATTGGTTCCATTACTAGCTAGAATTAAAAAAACAGAATTCATGACCACCAACCCAGTAAAAAAGGGTGCTGCATGAAGTACCTCTAAATGAACCTTGTTGCTTGCCTTCTGCAACACAGCCTCAATTAAATACTTAACAAGGAAACAAAATCTGAAATCCTGTATTTGTGAAGGACCAAGTTCTTTGTGGTTTTCCAGGAATCCTCCACATCTTCCCCTTTCCCCCTTTGTACACATCAAAGCACATGCGCCTGTAAAGTTGAGAGGTGGGATGCACCCCAGTTTTGCACATTTTGAATAAGCAATTGGAGGATTTAATTTACCTTCACCTCTTTCAAATGATTCAAGTCACTGAGATATAAAAAACTTCCATTCTCCCCCAAACCTGGATAGACTATTTACAAAGTCCTCTTAAGACTAGGACAGAATTGAAGGACAAGGCTCATTAGTTGAATAACTCAATGGTTGTTTTCCAGTTAAAAATAAATCATCTGTCTTTTGGTCCTGTGCCTGCCAAAAAAAAAAAGATAGTTATAACCTTGAAATGTTTTGCTCAAAGAAATGCTTCTACTTTTCTCTGAGCTTTGGGGTATTCAAAAGTTGGACCAGCTATGGTTAAAATCAATGACAGATTAAATTGTTTTGGTGTCTGGGTAAATTCATATTTAATTACTCAAAGAAGACAAAGATCAAATTCAAAAAGATAAATGTCTGATATTTTTATAACAGTAGCAGCATCACATGAAATCTGTTCGCAGCAAATTATGGCCCAACTCTAATTACTGTTTCAGACATTGAACAGATGTTTATCAGGAATTCTCAGTTCCAGTTCCCGTCCACATTATAACGGTGGTCACCATGAAAATATACAATTGTAATATCCTTTTCTGGATTGTGCAAAGTAGCCCTATGACTTCCTGAACTAGTAAATAAGCTCTCAGGACAGGGGGCACTAATAGATAAGCTAGGTCAACGTCTCTGCAGGAATTAAACAAATGCAAATTTAATTCAATTTAAACTTAAAATTGGATTAGACAACTAATTCAAGCTTCTGCATAGGGCAAGTCCGTACAGTTCAAGTGGTCTACCACTGCCCTTTTTTATTAGACAATTTCCATTGCTGAAAGCAGCAGAAGAAAGGAGTTGACGTAGAAGCAATTGGTGGTGGTGTCAGCTTAATTAAAATAAATTTACATTAAATTTAAATAAATTGAAGGCCTGAAGCTACATGAGGCTCCAATGTTGCCATCTTCCCCCTGCCCCGCCCCCCATCACTGCTGAAGAAAACATGGTCCACAGGTTTTATTTCAAGCTTTGTACTAGCGGGAAGGCCTAGCTGACTTAGCTGCTGATATGCTCTGCCTCGTGTTTTCCCTCAGGCTTCATGACCTACATTGTAGAGCCACTCTTTGAAGAATGGGCCAACTTTACTGGGAACACACCCTTATCTGAAAACATGCTGAACCATCTGAGGAGGAACAAGACCAAGTGGAGAAGTCTGCTTCATAAGCAATACAGCAGCAGCAGGAGCACTGACCACACAGTCCCAATGACTGAAAATGAAGAACAGACTTTAAATGAAGGAGAAGCCCCATAGTGCTGGCTTAGCACTCTGCTGCAGTGCTACTACCTTTCACAACAGTGAACAAAACCCTAAGAGGTCTGTTGGGCCATGGTCAACAATGCAGGAAGCGAAGAAATCAGGAGGAAAGCCAAAGCGACAGATGTCCTCCTCAACTAAACCTACACCACTTCGGGGTTTGGTCCTAAAGTTCAGCCAAATCCCACTTCCTCATCTTACTATCTGAAGCCATTCATCACTTCTGATCACAAACTGCTTGAATGAGAAGCTTTTCAGTAGTGCTGAAGCTGGGGCAGTAGGCAGGTACCAACTAATAAGAGGATTAGAGGATACAGGCAAGACCAATGCATTCTTGGTTATCTATTGCATTCACTTTGGGTCATGCTGTGACGTGTGTTTGTGAATGACAGCTTAGAGCAATGTACAGTCTTCAGTCTGGCAGCTGGGCTGCACATTAAAACCCACCACCAGCACCGTCAGAAGGACATCTGGCCATGCAAGAGAAAAGCGTCTCATTTTAAACAATTAAAGCCTTTTTAATTTTTGTATTTGGTGCACTGGACAAGGAATCTAAGAACCTTGATGTAAGGTTATTCTGTGTACACAAAGCTTTTTCATGGTGGTGCCCCATTTTGTTAACCATTTTATGCCACTTTAGGTAAAAGACTGGCATTCTTCTCACTGCAAGAACAGTATTTCCTATCAAATCCAAAAGGGAAGAGTTGTACAGTTTAAATGTTTCCAGATGTCTCTTTTGATGACTGTATCTGTGACCTGTTTATATTCGCACATGTGTGTCTCCTGTACATATAAGGCGCTACTGATCCCATACCGAAATAACAAAGTATTATGGGAAAGCTACCTATATAAACAATGGCACTGTGAACAAAATACTGTTAGTTTTAGTATTGGAAGAATTTGTAAAGATGTTAGACTATTAATACACTTTTGTTTGCAGATAAAGGCCTTAACCTCTAGCATCCATTACTTTCTGATGGCTATCAAAAGTCATCTCATTTTAGTCCAGCCTGTTTTCAGTTGCCCACGGGTTAGATTAGAAGGGCAATTTATTTAAATGCTTGATACACCTGCGGCTCCATAGTGTTAAGCCACACTGCTCTAGTTAAGCTGCACCTCAGTTCAGTTGTTGCCAATCCCTACCCTCCTTGTATTTTCAAATGATCTGTCCATAGTTTTCACAAAATTTTACCTTATTTAGGAACACGGTGGCAAACTGCAACCCGATGAAGCTTGGAGAACTAAACACTTAAGGAAAATCAGCAAGGGCTTCATCGTAGTCATGGATCTTGTTGAAATTTTGCAGTAATTGAATATGCTGAGATGTATCCACAATCATTGGGAGTAGAGGCACACCCCACCAAAAATTTGTTGAAAGTCGTATTTCCTGTCAGACATAAGCTCATTCTTTTTATCATATAATGAGAAGTACTCTCCCTACAACAATCACAAACAGCTCATTTTGAATCTCATGAACTCAGTTTCGCATACCAAAATTAGCAGAAATATGGGAGTAACTGATTACGGAATATATAGGGGGGAAATTTTCTGGACTCACTTTCTCCTATATACAAGTAGAACCATTAATGGTTTTGCTTATATACTAGTACTTCACCAAGCACATTTCATGATGATAGTTACATCTTATTTTGGGTTGCTGAAATTCAGAGAAAAATACAAGATTTCCTGGACTTGTTTGAGAGTGTGATGTGTTTAACAATTTAAAGAAAAATCATCTTGAAAATCATCCAATCCATTATTTTTTTACACTAGTCACATATAATTTATGTGACTATTAGGTGTGATCTACTTCCAGATTTACCATAAAATTTCTTATTACATAAGTACTGCTTAATTTCCATGATAACCAAACTGTTATACAATTATGAGGGAGTTTCTATGACAGATTAATTTCAAAAGGCAAGTGAGTACATACAATTACACGTCAGCCCATTCTTCTGTATGCATCCTGCAATGGAAATGTGAATCATCATAAAGTTTAACTATCTTTTGATTTCAAAAAAATTCATCATCAAAATAAGGAACAAGTCAACTACCATGAAATCTTAGGTGTTGCCTGAACTGGAACACAGCAGAAAAGCAAACTCACAACAATGCAAAAGAACATTTTGTTTGCAAGTCAAATTAAGAGCTTACTTCTGCTCAGAGATTGAAATATAAAGCTTTTTCTCCCTTTGTACAACGTGGAAGAAAGTGTACTGAGCAAACTGCAAGAAATTCACTGAACAACAGTGCTCAAGAACTCTATGACATACAGCTACACAACAGTATTACATTTTGATTAAACTCAGAGTTCTCTGGACGAGATATGGTACATCTGTGCTTAGGAAACACCCACACTTTCATTGCCTTTCATTGCATAGTAACTCCATATAGCCAATTCACACAGCTAGAGCAGTAATCAGTTTTTTGTGTCTCAGCTTCCCTGACACAGATGAGTGCACTGTTCGTTTAATAATATCCGTGCCACCAGCACATGATAAATTACAACCTACTGTAGGAGAAACCTGGTTGTGTGAATGAATGTCTTGAAGTGCTACTTCCATTAGTTTAAAAAACAGATACTAAAAGCAAGCATTAAGAAGTGAAATATCAGTGATTTGCCAAAAACCAGAACTAAGAAATACACAGCAAGAGCCACAGAGTCTCCAAGCCAAAGGAATGTAAACCTTAGTAAGTCCCAAGGCAGAAAGGAAAGCTTAGGTTGAAAAAATAAAATACTAGTGTGATCTCTTTAGATTAGTGTGAAAATGGACTTTGAAGCCATATTTCACTCTGTGAAGAAAGGAGCTTTATATAAATAGTAATAGCAGCATTAACTTGTCAAAACTATAGCAAACACTGTTCAAGATTTTCTTCCACATATCAGGATAAGAAAAAGCTAATTAGAATTCCATAGATTATTATTTTAACCTTAATTACCTACCGTGGTATCTCTGTGTCTTTCTGAAGATTGAAGTCAACCATAAATGAGGGATGAACAGATTGCTGAAAAGGATAAATTACTGAATGTTTCAATATTTTACTCCACTTTGACATTTTTCTACAATTCTTATCAGATTCCTTTCTTTTTCAATTTAGGTGGGCAAGTGGGCCGCATTGTGATACCAGTGCACTTTAAAACCCTAGCTGCAATTTACTCAAATATTCCAAAACTATATTCATATACTTGTGAGAAGTCTCACTGATTTCAGTGAAACACACTTTAAATAAAGGCTGCAGTTCCTAATCACATTTACCTGGAAGTGACAAATAAACAAAAATTCTAGAGTATGTTGATGTTCTCCCCAAGTCTGAAAAACAAGATTTCTCTGGGCATTATCTTCTTTCATTTTTGAATGGAAGAATGGCTATCATGGACAATTTTATTCTGGCAGGTCATGTACCAAGCAGTGTTATTCACGGGTGAGTCTGAGTTCTTTAGCTAGATATGGGCATAAGACACCCTCAACAGCATTTATTTGTGTGGGAACCATACTGCAAAAAGAAACTCTTGCTTTTGTATTGTGGCAAATATTTCAGCACAGCGGATGGCATCCACTGCTGTCTCTCCACTGAACTGATGGAAGGCATGTCAGCAAAACAGAGATTTAGGCAATTTCCAATTATTCCCCTCCCTTCTGCTACCTACCTATGCTTCCCTAAATCTGTTCTGAAGGGCTGGGGGGATCCGCCAAAGAAGATTTTTTAATTTGGGGATCACTGAAAATTGGCTCCATTCCTCTCCTGCTAACAGATGATGAGCATAGCATTGGTAACACTCAATCATATATATATTTAGGTACATAAATTTTACATGCAAATAGAAGTTAGACTTGAGTATAAAGCACATCTTTTTACATAAAGCTACGCCAAATAGTATCACATGGTCCTAACAAAACCAAATGTAGGACCAAACTTTAGCTACTATGATTGCGTATGAATATGCATTAAGCTGAAAGGAAGCAATAGATTGTGTTTGAGCATAACACCAAGCCACAGTTCGTTAAAACCAGTTTGTTTACCAAGCCATGCATTTTGTTCACAATTGATACCATGGATTGTTTTGTGTAATGCTGGTTTGTTGCCCACTCTGCTGCCCCTGCAGTGGTCAAGGAATGGCATGGCCTTCACATTACTGGTTCTCTTACTACTACCTAGCTACAAAAATGGGGCAGGAACATACTTGTTACACCTCATGCCAAACACAAGCCATAAACTTTTCCTCCCTTCCCAGATTCTTTAGAATGCCCTACACATTTCTAAATCCTTCCCTCTCAATCCTCCTGAATAAAATAATTTCTTGCTGCAAGACATCTCGCTGCAGTTCCATGGCCATTTCTCTGAAATTTGTTAGCCACCCCCAAACATGACTGATGATAATGGAAGGGATGCATATACTATTCCAGTGGATACTCAATCATCCGACACCAGCTCTGAAAGAACCACCCACCCAGCTTTACCAATCACCCAGTAAACACAAAAGACTCTTGCCCAATTTCTGCTTCCAGAGACCCTCTTAGCTGCAAATGAAACACCAAACTACCCAACCATAATAAGATGGACTCTTTCCACAGACATGAACATACCCCAAACCACCAACCTCTGTTTCATACCTGAACATATTTGAAGTCAGCTCCCAACTTTCTAAAAATCAATTCCTGACTCCGACTTCTTCCAGACCTATCAATGGGGCCAAGGTCTGCATTGTGTCAAGTTTCTACCTGTAGTTAGAGCTCTGGATGGTGGTTGCTCTTCTTCTTTTCCTATCTTGGAACCTAAGGAAGGTGGTGAACCAATCCTCAAAAGACTGTAGGAAATACACAGGCAATTCATCGGCCCTTTTGGTCCCATTGCACAGTTCCTCGGAGGCATCTGACAGAACATTTAGGCTGATATAGCAGTTGTTTCTGGTACAGTCACCATCAGCCTCTTTGTCCTCTTGATGTTTGTACATGGCTACCATGATAATGGCACTTACTGAAGCTTTGCCAGCGAAGATGCCTCTCCAGAAATTCCAGGAGCAGGAGAGAAGATCTGCCTAGCCAGCAATGGAGCAGCCTGTCTTGGCCACCAATGCTGCTGACTGCCCAGTAGCCAAGGGTGGCATCTGTATCTAGGAGTGAGGCTAGTTTATAGTAGAACAGCATAGTGCATGGTTCTACCCCAGAGTGCTTATTGTGAGGTGAGAATTTTAAAAAGCTTTAAAGAGTGTTCATCTTTGCACAGCACTGATGAATGCAACAACTGAACCCTTTCAAGGACATTTCTTTGGACAGCTGGCTAAGTATCGCCTCAATGCAGTTCATATTCTAGAGTTCCCTTTTGCACTTGTCTTCATGTGTCAATAAAAACCCCTCTCTCTTTCTTGTCCTTTGCTTCTGTAACACCAGCTACTACTATTCTACAGCAGCAGAGCTGAAATATTGCTAATGCAGCTGACACACATAAACAACATCATCTTTCCAAGGGAATACAAAGTAACACAGAGTGTTTATGTAATTTTTTAAAAAAAAAAACACTCTCCCCAATAATTGCTATCACACGTTGTTTACAATCTTCAAACCTTGGTACTAGTATGATTACTCTGAGTGAGCAATCATCCTTGGACTGCCTGAGTCCATGGTGATAGCATGATACTGACCAAAGGGGGACTTCAGAGAGCTAAGTACTGAAGGGTCATGAGGGTTTCCCAGAAGCAGAACTGCCAAAAGCACATAAATGGGGAAGAACAAAGGTCAGCTTCATGTACTTGCTATAGATAGGATTTTTGTGAAGCTGCATTTGTCTTTAAAATTGGGGTAAGATGCTAAGAACAAAGGAATGCTTTCAACATGTGCTCTTGGATACATGCTAGTAAAAAAATGGCATAAATTTTCTCATTGCAAACTGGAGCTACGCTGGCAGGATGAAAAGGAAGAGCTTGGCATGGCATGGGTGGGGGGAACCCTAATGCTAGGCAGAGGAAGAATGAAGGAAAGAGCTGGAAAACTGCCAGTGAGATTCACTTGGCTGCATGAGCATTTTCTAACAACTCTTACCCCATGTGGGTGGGTGGGGTAGAAGGCTGGAACAAAAAGGATTAAACTAGGATAGCAAATTTGGCTGCAATGAAAAACACAGTTCAAGCAAGCAGAGAATCATGAACCAGCTTCAAACCATGGTTTCATATTCTAATATCCTGGTTGTATATAAGCCATAGTTAGGTGGCTGGGGAGGGTCTGGATGTACAAACTACAGTTAAGTTAAACAGACAAACTGTGGTTTAGTGTTAGGTCTGAACAAGGCCTTGTGTGAAATTGTGACTGCTATGCAGTGATGCCGAGAACTAAACTGTATCTTTAACATACTGCTGTAAGTATTCATGTCAAAAGATAACTGTTAATAAAAAAAAATACAGATGGATGATGTTTGCATATGTGCATTTCTCACATTTTAGCCAATTTAGTCAAGCATTTGCTTTGTGCTTGCATCTTCACAAGAATTTTTGCCACTTTCAGATGCTGTTTATAAGTACAGGCTGAATTCTACAAGCCCGCTAAACACTCTAGAGTATTTCTGAAAATCCCCCTACAGTTCAGAATTGGTTCAGGAGTGGGTAATACTTCTTATCACAGCAATCCGTGTGGTTTGGCCCTCTTAGAGCACGCCATACAATTAGTAAGAAGTTCTCAGAGTGCACTTCAACTTTTAGATGTCAAAACATCCCCTATTTTCTTACTTTTCTTTAATCAAGACCCCCCCAAATCAGGATCTCTTGAAGCCCTTCTTGGTCACAGAGGTATCATAATAACTTTTATATTTGTGAGTCAAGGAAACAAACCATGTATTTCTGACTGCTAGTAGAAATTCTCCATTACCAAATCAAAAACTGATGAGGGTGGGAAAGGGTAACATGACTCCTATAGCCCAACGTTCAATTTCATGCCATTTGTTACTTGGGCTGCCTATGCCAATCTGCATTATGAGTTAATATGCTAGAAGTTTTGATCCCATTTAGGGCTTTTCCAGCAGTTGAGAACATACTGCACTCCATAATTTTCCAAGTGTCAGAGTTCTGTGCAGTGTGTTTTATCAAATATCCATAAATATAAAAGTTAGTCAACACCAAGTACAGAGAAGTTATTCAACCTATATTAACCCTAGTGTAAAATATAAGCCAATGCTCATTTATCAATTGAAAGATAAGCAAATTAAAAATAATAAACCACAACCAAAGTGCTCAAAGTGCTATCTCTATTCGCATGATGATATTTTCTATAGCTGAGTTTCCCCCTTCTACTTATTTAACTTGAAATAATGCTTAATGCATGGTAAAATGCAGTAGAAAAAAACATCAGTATTTTAAAAGATGCAAAACTCCTTAGATGAAGCAAAAAGTTTTATCAGATAAAATGTATTATTTAAGATACTAAAAATAACTTGAGGGCAGATTACTGGATTATGGGAGGTATGTTAGTGCACCAAAATTCTTATGATTAGCAGTGTATCACCAGATGGCACTTCTGCTTTATAAAAAATAAGCCCTAGAATATGCTCCCGATAAAGGAACCTCAAGTCCCATTTGCATCTCAGGATCCAGAGATCCAAGAAATCCAGGCTACAGAGATAATTACTAATTCTGTGCCAGGCAATGGTAACTCTATGCCATGCAATGCATTGATTTTTTGGTTTTGGAGAGAAGACCGTATGAAATGTAAGAGAGAACTGCAAAACACAACTGCCAAGAGTTAGAGCTCCCATACAATATCAGGAGACGCACAAGCACCAGAAGACACAGAACAACCATGCATCATGAGGACTGAGCACTTGTAGAGATTTCACTCCACTGATAAATATTAACAGACCACAGGGAGAAGGGGAAGACAGCAGCAAGCACACTGAGCAAAGAACTCACACAAGAAATACCACGGTCACTACAGTCCACATAATACTACATTAAGAAAGAGCTGGTCAGCTAGCTGGTCTAGTTCCAAGTGCTGGTGCAGCTGTAATCTTCTAAAGACACCAACAGAATGGGGATGCCATACAAATCAGGGTGTGGGGGACTGGTAACAGAACAAGTGGCATAGCCCAATAGTAGAGAAATATGTGGTAATGAGCCCACAAAGAGGGGAATTTACCTCTGGATATGCAGGAATCCTGTTTATCACCAGGCAACTGCAGCTTTTGAGAAACTAGCCTTCTACGCTCAAGTTCTTTCAGTATCTACGAAGACCTAGAAACTTTATAGCATGAATATCAACAGACTAAAAAAACACACCAAGGTATTTGGTTGTTAAACTCTGCTTCTGGGAAGAAAAGGTGCTGTCTATGGAAGACAGGCAAAACTATTTTTTTTTGCAAAGCTATAGTATCAGATTGCCCTCTGGTGGTTAGAAGCATGTGTTAATCACATTTAAAATACATGGGTTGGTCATTAACACCTACGGTAAAGGATATGACTGAGATACCATTTTCACAACCAGGATGACGGAGGAATTTGTTCCGTATTTTTCCGATCGTCCTTTCAGCTCAAAATGCAATCATACATTCCTCTGGATTTTGCAATAGTTTTGGTCCAAAAAACTTATGCACAAAAATATGTATTTTATGTAAATAAAGTTCATATTAAAAGAGGAAATGCATTCAAAAGCATTGAAATCTGTGTGTTTTGTGGGGAAGTGCGTGTAAAATGCCTATCTTTTAATTTGTCCTAGAATTTCCATTACTGCCACAAAAAACACCCAACCATACATGGCTTCCAAGTTATCTCTAACCCACTGTTTAAATATTAAAAGGCTATATATCACACACTGCTAAGAGGTGACATACTAAGACAGACATCAATATACTGTTAGCTCTAGAGTGGCACATCACTCAATAACTAAACAGGCACACATAGCCAACATTCAAATTACATGCATTTACTGCTATCACATTATTTATGATACAGGCCACATTATTTATGATACAGGCCAAGTAATGTCTTTGTCTATGCAAATATGAATACAGAACTAAAAGTTATCTCTCCCTTGAGTAAGAACCATGCAATGATGGAACAGAATACAAAATATCAAGCAACAAATTATCAGAAGGAAGCAATTTAATCGCAGGGAAGGAAACCAATATATTGAGCCAAATTTCGTCTGCTTGCCACCCACACAAAAAAACCCATTTGCAAGAATTATAAGGAACAATGCACTATAACTGGTAAAATAAATAAAAATATAAATACGGTAAGTAAATAAAAATACAATAAATAAAAAGCAACACTCAAAAGTCCGCAAGAGTCCACCAGAAGGTTTGAATACATGAGGAGAACCTGATAAACACACATTATGTGTAAAATCCAGAAACTCTCTGGGCTGTGCAATATTTAGGTTGCATGTATGACGGGGCGTCCAGAGTTTAAATGGTTGTGGTAGAAGAGATGCAAACTTTTTTAGATAACACTTCCACCCTGTATAGTGTACTGTAAGTTACAAGGGGAATGACATATCATATAGCTTATATTTCTCCACAAATCTTCATACACAAGACTACGAAATCTGAAATATTTCAGTCACGGAGAATGATCATACAGTTTAGACATAAAAGATTTCTTTTGTAAGCAAAATTTACTGGAGTGCAAATAGTCAACAGCAATATTTATTTGAATCATGCATTTCAAATATGCACACAGTTCCTGTGTTTTCTTTACAAACTTTTACAGTATTCAAGGAAATTAATGGTCTCTTACTCAAAACCAAGCAAACACCACTGGTGCCAATTATTGAGATCTTATAAGGCTGCACCACTGAATCAAATTGAGAAAGGGATAATTTTGAGGAAGCTATTCCTTATTATCAACACATTAGTCCTATTCAGTGATGTTCCCATCATGAAATTAGCAATCATGTAAGAGGAAGTGGGGCTCTGTCCACTGGTCCTGTCTTTGTGTCTTCACCTCCAACCTCTCCCTCATTGTAAACGCATTGGGGGCAAGATTGCAAAGGGAAAGCCCATCAAGCACATGCAAGCTCTGTACATAAGGGTCCCAGTTGATGGGGAAAAGTTACATGTGTTAGGTGCGACAGATGCTCCCTCTGCAGAGACATCCTCAATGTGTTGACGTAAGGCTGCCGAGAATGTGAATGTGCAGGGGAGAGGCCAAAAGCCACATCACGCATCAACTCTTCACACAACAGCTAATCCCGTTACAGGAAAACAAATGAACAGGATACTGTTTCGTAAATATATTATCATCTACATATAACCAAATTAATTTACATTTTGTTTCTATGGTACTATTCTCTTCCTTTTTTTGACATGTTTATGTGTCTGCTTTAAATTCTGCAGCCCAGACTAGAAAGTTGTTATAAAAACCAGTAAAACATACTCTTGCTGATAAAATATTTTACACAAACAAATTCCAGATGCTTGGCTGCTGAAGTAGAGTAATGAAAAACAGCTAGCTCTAAAAGCCGTTGCTTTATAGCACAGTATTGAGGTCTACAAAACCAGTGGCAGAGCTTTTCTCAAGAAGCTCTACACCATGGCTAAATATGAATTGCTGGTTTTGCAGGTGATACCTACATCAGCTCCTTAGTTCTAATAAGCGTCTGCTTCATACTTGGCTTCAAAACGCGACAGCCAACCTGAAACAAAACACATTTTAAATGCTATTTTTAGAAAAGATTGAAGAGGAAAATATGAGTTGATTAACACTTTTCTCCAATCTTAATGAACAGGCCAAGCAAGAAACTTCAATGTAGAGCGAGTGAGAATGTCAAACATAGGCCTACAATAAAGAACCAATTTGTTAGGAAATGACTTATCTGTTTTAAAAGAAGCATTTTGATATGAAATATGTTGGGCTTCCATATATTAGATGGAAATATGCACTAAATATTTTAGCAAAATAAATAAAATGGTAATAGGACAGTCTGCCGCAATGAATGAATTATTTCACCACCTGCTCCTATGTCCAATGTGAACAAATCAGCTGCTCTTCCTGACAAAGAGTTTCATGGGTTGCTTCACAACTTCCTTTCCCACTTTGAGTTTGTCATGTTCTAGTATTATGTGGCTAAACTCATTTTATATGGGTTTTTAATTGTTCTTAGCCATTGTGTCTATGTTGGTATATTTTGCTAATGCTTTTATAACTGGTTTTGCTAATTTTGGATGTACCTGTTGTATTTTTAATGTCTCTGTAAATATGAGCAGTATACATATGCAATTATTGTCGTTCAGTTATTTATTTAATTCAAAATGCATCTGTAAATCTCCCACCAGCTTCTGAATAACTGAAACTACTGAATGGCAGTTTATTTTTTAACTCATTTAAAAAACTCATTCTGAATTCAATAAGGGTCAAGAGAAAGTATCACAAGAAAATAAACTTAGGATCACAACTGTACAGCTACTGTGTGGCATCCTCTCTGTAAGACAACAGAAGAATTCAAGCCATCCCTGTACTTTGAAAGTAAGCCCCCTTCTACTGGCCCCTAATGCAGAAGATGGAAAGCACTGCCAGCACTGGGCAAGGATGGGAAAGACGTTCAGCTAGTGCAGAGGCAACCCTCTCCCAATCCTTAATTCATGGGTAAATGATCATAATGGGAACATGGGAGCCTCCTTCAGGAAGTCCACTCTCAAGTTTCCTCCACTAGCTTTAAAACCATGCTTAATGCTTTTGTAGCAGCATTAACCTTTTAAATTTGGTTACATCTCTTAGTATGTTTTAGATCTCTTCAATGCTGCTGATCTTTTTTATGCTGTACTACAGTTTCACCTGTTATGATTGTTAATGTTTCTTTTAATATAAACTGTAAGCTGTAAGTGTATTTTAACTGACTTTATATGTTCTTGTGTAGGTTGCCCTAGCAATTTTAATGAAGAGCTGTACAAAGATATCAATAATTAATAAAATGACAAACTATTTAGCATTTGATTCCCCCCCCCTTTAATTGAGATCATAACACTGGACACTATTAGACTTCATTCTATATCACTAGTATTCATGCCATATATAAATGACAGAAGCCATTAACAAAAAAACCAGATACATACCACTGGGGTATCTGGACTGGAAAATGGAGAAGTACCATAGGATCTGTTCTCTTTATCAAAGGAATCATCATTGTTCTGTGATGCAAATTTCTCTTTAAGAGCTTCTGCTATTAAAGCTGCTGGATCCCACTGTGATGCAATTCTTTTTTTTGTTTTGGGTAGAGGTGTACCTCCTGGTGATCTGGAAAGAGTGCCAAAATGTTTACAATCTTCAGTCAAAGATGCTGCTTCTCCTACATAGTAAATGCATGCAGTTCTACTTGCCACCCTCTTCAGTTCTGTGACCCTCCACAGATAGAAGGCTTTTTTATTCCAGGGAGGCTTCTGACAATACAACCAGGAAAGAGAAAACTTTCATGTATTCCCTCTCTCCCCTTCAACCACCAAAGCCTTCACAAATCTGCTTCAAAGGATTGAGGATTGAGAATAGCATGGGAAGTGGCACAAGGAGAGGTATCTGCGAAAGTTGTTTTCTTCCCTGTTCAACAGAAAGGATCAAAGCACTGGATCAAAGTACTTTCTGCAAGCAAAGGGTCACTTTGAAATGAATCAATGCATTCTCATGCAAAGTAAATTCTGGGTATCTTGTTGTACACTTGACACTATGTGCACCTGGCCTAGTATTGGGGAAGAGAGTTAAAGAACTCATTGAGTCCACTGTAGATCCATGAGTTCAGCTGCATGTGAGAGAGCATGAAGGAGGCACTTGAACTTTCATATAAAACTGGTAACCAATTATTCAGCTATGTCTGGGGAGCTGACTCCAAGATGTATTGAACTACCTGACAAGTAGGCACCTTCACAACAGCACAACCTCGTGCAAATTTGTGATGTGCTGATGCATTCAGGTATCAAATGCATGCATTTGCTATCATGCACCTCATTCTTGATTTCAGTTCATTTTCAGATCCAAGAAAAGACTCCATAGGGGAAAAAAGGAAGCTAACCTGTTACGGCTATTATTCGGATTCAACAAATTGTAGAACATATACTTTTAGCTTTTGATTTTATTGATCTTCATTTTCAAAAAAACTGTTTTTAACATTGATTTTTATTGGCCATCTTGATGTGATTTTTATCATCTTTGTAAACCGCTTTGAGGTTGTACAGCTGTACCTTGGTTTTTAAATGCCTTGGTACTTGTATGTTTTGGTTCCCAAATGCTGAAAACTTGGAAGTAAGTGTTCTGATTTTTGAACGTTTTTTAGAAGCTGAATGTCCGACGCAGCTTCCGCTTGAGGGCAGGAAGCCCCTGGAGCCAATCGGAAGCTGCGCCTTGGTTTCTGAACGTTTTGGAAGTCAAACAGACTTCCGGAATGGATTACCTTCGAGAACCAAGGTGCGACTGTATTTAGAGTTACATACATTATATAGCAAAAATGATTTGTAGCAGTTATAATGAACTATCAGGAGAGGTTTCAATGCCATGTCCTCTGTCACCCACTCAGCAGAACAGGGAAATGAAGGAAGGTTATGAGCACCAACTTAGATTTTCAGGGGAAATAATTTTGCTAGTTCAGTGTGAGTTCTCTGCACAATTTATGTATTCACTCATCAGTCCAAGTGCATTCAAGCAGGAGTGGGCGCTGACAGCAGCTAGGCACCTGTGCATATAACACCAGTTTCAGGCACTCTTAAATAACTTCTCAGAGGGAAGATGTTGACCGTATTTTATATTCATTATTTTATCTTCAAACGCATATTCTGCTCAACATACCTCTCAACTGCTCTTAGTTTGATCTTATTTATATCCTTCAGAACATCCATCATAGTGGGAAGAGCTTCTTCCTTCTGCCAACCTGTACTATCTGTAGTATTTCTTATCTTACTTGAAGCCCGACGTTGTTTAATAAGCTCAATGGCTGAATTACGGGAATCAAAATTAGATAGCGGTACAGCTGGACATGGTGGTGCTGGTGGCGGTGGAGGAACAGCGATGTGAGAACTTGGGACTGGTGTCGAAGTCACTCCTGGCTGTGGGAGAGCATTAAAGGCCATGTTTGAGGAATTCACAATGCCTGAACCTATTAAACAATTAAAGAGATGATATTAGGGAACTTCAATGTTGATATGACAATGACATGAAGGTCCTTTGATGCACTTGTAACACTACCTGCAAAGTCTAGCAAGAGTTGTCTTCCATGAAACAACAGAAGACACCAAGGAACAAAATCATACTACCTTGAAAGGTTCTTTTAAAAAGATTATTCAACAGACAAATCATTATACTACACTGGTTCTGGCAGATTTCAGACTTGGACCAGGGAGACTTGGATTCAGATCCCTGTTCAGCCATGACAACTACTGAATGACTCTGTCTTAACCTAGGTTTCCTCAGAAATATTGCAAAATGTAATATTATAAATACTGCTATGAATTCCATGGAGAAAGACTTGGATAAAAATATGGTAAATAAACTATACTGGACAACCTCCCACCACTGAAGTCACTTACAGTCCTTCTTTAGTTTAAGATTTCAGACATCACTATTACACCTTTTCAAGCACATTACTATAGCTATAAGGGATAAAAGAAAATGTTTACAAATTTATTTGTTAAAGTGTTTATAATCCTCATTTCTAAAAGGCTGAATCCTGAAGAATATAGTAACATTTTCAGCTGGTATGGTACAATGGTAAAATATGGGCAATGCACAGAGCCCCATTTTTTATTTACATAATTAATGAATATTTTACAACAGACAACAGCCATTACACCCCCTTTTTTGTTTGAACAGTAGACCTCTATACTATTTCACAATTGCTTTTGATCTTTCCCTCAATCTGAAAAGAAGTTTACCAGGCAGCATTGAGGGGGCGGGGAAGAATGCTGTTCCCTCCTAGGAATATACAGAAATAATTGCGAGTTCTTTGGATTTAGGCAAAATTCCCAATAACTTTCCTATCTAGTGTGTTGACTAGACTTCTATTTCTAATATATGTTATTTCATTTTCTCTTGCCTACACTACATATCTCATTTTTAAACATATGCACACTGTGTGCAGGATAATGAACTATCATAAATGTTGCTATGAGATGGCAGTGTGACTGGACATTATGAAGAGCAGGAGCCATGCATGGACACATGTATCAGGAATCACAAAGACAGGCTTACATGGTTGATCATTTCCTGATCTAGGCACTGCCACAATTGCTGCAATCTGTGCACGAAGATGAGCTAATTCATTCTCAAGAGCAGAAATTTTTTTGAATGCATCTTCATTCACAACAGTTAATTTTTGCATACTTCCTTCTGTAGCAACCGGCACAACTCCTCTCCATTCATCAAATCTAGAAAATACCAATGTATAGATTTATAAGTGAACAGAGGAAACACTGAAAAAGCCAAAATTATTACTGTAAAGAGATATACAAACATATTCATCTGACCATAACAGAACTCAACATTAGGTGCTCTGCAGCACAATTCTATATATGTCTGTGTTTCATGGTCATTTCTCTCAGGTGCAGAAGAGTGCAGTTGTACTCACATCCTGCTTGTTCACTTCTCATAAGCATCTGGTTGGCCACTGAAAGAACTGGATGCTGGACTAGGTGGGCCACTGGCCTGATTCAGCAGGTTCATCTTATATTCTTATGCAAAATCAGAAGTCTACTTGTACAAAGTGCTTCTATTACATATTGGGCAATCTTCTTCTCTAAATAAAATCCCCCATGCCACTGTTCTGGGGGGGTCTCCTGACATTCAAGAGAGGCATTCTCAGGATAAAACCCATTACTGAGAAATATAAATGTGACTGCAAAAGCTTGGATGATTTTCTTATAAAAAATCAAATGCTGATTGTTATTGTCTCTCAAGTAAGGAAAGCGGTAACTAAGAAACACTGAGACAATTCCATTATAAAACATACATTTATTCTAAAGACATGTCAGTTTTACTTACCTAAATCTAGCGTATGGTTCTCTTTCATTTTCTGCCATCCACAAAACATCAGCAAGAGATGGTGTAACAGAGCTACTAGAAATACTTTGCTCAGATGTCAAAGAATTAAAACTCTGGATTACCTAAGGCAGCAGGGAAGAAATATTATTAAGAGTCTATAAATGTATATCAGTATTTTTTAAAATAAAAATATCAAGCATCCACTAGTATTTTAATGAATTATTTCTCTGTTTAGTGAGTGGTGCAGGAGGCACCATGTTGTTGTCCTGTCCGATATCCTATCAGCTATTTGCCAAGCAGAATAACCTTTTGAGAGCAAGAACAGGCAAATCAGCCACCAATTAAGCCGCTGTGGGTTGCCTGCCTCTGTGTGTCAATATGTGATGGGCAGAGGCTCACCGCATGGATCAAACCACAAGGGCAAAGAAAGGTGAGACATGGTGAGTATCACCATGGCAAGCCACTGCACACAAATGGCAAGAAGCAGCCTCCAACATGACAACTCTTTATTGCTCTCTTTGGTAGCAATGCCATACTTCCAACCACTTTTTAACTCCTTGTCTTTATCTTTGATAATTCTAATCATTCATTTAAGATGAGGTAAACTAGAACTATCAACAGCAGGGTTGTACATATTGTTTCAAGAGCTTTGAAGGCACTACCACCATAACTCTTCGGAATGTCCCCAAAGCCAACACTTAAGTGGGAGAGAGCACAATTCTCTCAATTCGTTTTTCAGGAGCACAGTTACAGCACCATCTTTTAGCTGATTTGCAATGGCTAGCAGATAGTATTCAGTACTTTTTTTTCCAAAGTACTACAGCATAGATGATCTAATTGTCTCCAAAATCATTTCGCTTTGGACTCTCAAATACTTCTTTTTCATATTCATAGCATAGAAATATTTCAGATTTTCCCTTCCCTTTATCAATTTTCCTCCTTAATTCTCAGTGCTGGATAATAATCATTTCTACCATAACACAAAATACATTTCTATTACCAATTTCCAAATCCTAAACATCAGTAGAATTCCAGTAGAATTCATTTAGGGATGCCTGCTGTTTGTTCCCTACATTATTATGCCACACAGAACATGATTTTAAATAATGTATTAAAATTGTATTAATCTTACACTTTGCAATAACCCCTATACCTGAAACTGAGGCCTTGGACAAGGAGTTAATGAAAGATACTTCCCCAGTCTGCGAACGAAACTTCGGGTAGATCCATACTTTTTTCTTTCCCACGCCCAGGACACCTAAGAATCAAGCAATCCTCTTCAAGTTAAATGAGAATATTTTTAAAACAGCTGTCAACCAATAAAATAACTTTTGTTGCTTTGTCATCTATATTTTAGCCAATAAAATGTATGTGCACATTACCGAAACCTTAAGATAGATGTGTTTTGTAGCAATTAAAAAAGTGTAGGCTGGTTTTCAACTTAGTAGCAGACACAAACACTTACTGTTTGAGCAAATAAAAGTGATTGTTACTGTGCAAGATTTTAATGTAAACACCAACCATCAATTTTAATCATACTTTTAGTAAAAAAAAAAGGGGGGGGGTTCCCCAGGAATGCTTCAGTTGGAAACTGTTTCCATAAATTGATTGGCATCTGATTCAGCATGTTTATTTTACCTGCTACATTAATTTATGTATTGTATCTCTCAAAAGGCTATGGCTGGATGGTTGCTTGGGAACCTGTTGAAGCTAAATTCTTTAAAGACAGAGGTCCTCTGGTTGGGTTGAGACGACATGGGGTTGGGGGGTAAACTCCCATCCCTTCCTGGGGCGAAATAAGACAGCACCTTCTGTCAAGACTCTGGGTGTAACCCTTGATGCCTCCGTCTCTATGGAGGCGCAGATTACAGCTACAGAAAAGGTAGCATTTTTCCATCTCCGCCATGTTAAGCAGTTGGTTCCTTATCTTTCTCATCCTGATCTAACCACTGTGATCCATGCGATGATCACCTCCAGGCTTGATTACTGTAATTCGCTCCATGCGGGGCTGCCCATGAAGCTGACCCAGAAACTCCAGCGGGTGCAGAATAGCGAGACTACTTACGGGGTCTTCGCCATGGGACCACATCCAACCAGTGCTATATCAGCTGCACTGGCTCCCGGTGGAGTACAGGGTCAAGTTTAAGGTGCTGGTTCTAACCTTTAAAGCCCTATATGACCTGGGACCCTCGTACCTACGGGACTGCCTCTCCTGGTATGCCTCACGGAGGACCTTACGGTCTGCAAACAATAACATCTTGGAGGTCCCGGGCCTCAAGGAGGTTAGACTGGCCTCGACCAGAGCCAGGGCCTTTTCAGCCCTGCCCCAGTCTGGTGGAACGCTCTGTCGCAAGGGCTCAGGGCCCAGCGGGACCTGACAGGCCCCACAGGGCCTTCAAGACGGAGCTGTTCCGCCAGGCCTTTGGTTGGGGCTCAGTCTGACCCCTCTCCTTTTACAAGACCCTGCATATAAGTGGCCTCTCTAACTCTTCTCACCAGCTCATACAAATAGCTGAGCCTGGTGAGCACTTAAAGTTCCCAACCCCTATAGTTATAGTTATAATTTGCAGGTAGCAATCTAATCTTATTTTGATTTTAATCCAATTTTAAGCTGTATTTCAGTTGATTGCTGAATTTTATGTCTTAATGTATTATATATTTTGATGCTAGCCACCCTGAGCCCGGTTCTGGCCGGGGAGGGTGGGATATAAATAATTTATTATTATTATTATTATTATTATTATTATTATTATTATTATTATTATTTCAGTAGTCAAAAAGTACTTGAAATAATGGGGTTGGGGGTGGCGAGATTCAATAAAGCACACTGACAGTGCAATCCTGTGAATGTCTACTCAAAGGGAGGCTGTACCAAGTTCAAGGAGGTTTCCCAGGTAAGTAACACCTAGACTACTGAAATGCACTCTACATTGGGAATCCCTTAAAGACATCCAGAGATGTCTTTTAACCAGCTAGTGGCAAATTCTGCCACTGGAGTATTGATCTGCACTGTCCTAACACCTATTCTGCATGATCTGTATTGGATGCCTATATGTTAGCAGGCACAGTTAAGGTGCTAGTGTTGACTTTTAAAGCTTCAAATGACCTGCAACCCTGTTATACTTCCTCCCATACCAACCAGCTACAGTGGTGGGGGATAGGAACTTGTCTGTTGCAGCGTAGCACCATGAGTATAGAATTCTCTTCTCCTGAAGGCACAGATAGCAACATCCTTGCTGGGAGTCAGCAGCCAAATTAAAATACGCTTGTTTTCCTGGGCCTTTGGTTTTACTCTGCACCAGCATGTTTGACTGATGGTTGTTTTTATTAGCAATTTAAGTTTATTACTGTTTTATGTTATATGAGGCTGTGTTACATTATGTGGGAAACCACCCTGTGTTAACCGTGTGTGATGAAGGACAGTCTAGAAATTTCATTAACAAAAATAAATAGCACATGAAGTTATTAAAAGGCACAGTGTAGAACTGTAGAAGTTACAAAGAGATAACTGCTTGTGAAAAAGCATATATTTGCTAAATTTTATTACATAATCTGTCCTGTGTTACATATACTGCAACTTATGTTCACTGCTTATACTTTATTTTAAACATTTTTATGTATGCCACCAATAACTTTGGTTACAGGGTGGAATAGAAATATCATTAATCATCATCATGTATGGAAGACTCCCAAGATAGAAAAGAAAGAAAAAAGTGAAGGAAAAGGAAACTGGAGAACTTTTCTGATAGCGCAGAAATGTGAAGCTAGCCATGCAGTGAAATTGCTATGGAAGAAGCCAACACTTACACACTTCATAAGCACTATTAAGGATAAAAGAAAAATGTTGATGATCTTACTGCATAGCGTCTTGAGATGGCACATAACTGTTGGAAGTGTGCTCTTGAAGAGGTGTTTGAAGGAAGATGGGATGCAATCATAAGAGCAAAGGCATTAAGACAAACTTCACACCTCTGTATAAACTGTAAAAAGAAAAATGTAATAAAAAGGCAATCTTTGCAAATCCAAGAATCTATAATCAACCCAAACATTCTAGATTCTCAGTCAGCAGGTAGGGAAGCAAACAAACAGAAAAAGCTAACTCTTCTTCAGAAAGAAGGCAGGATCAGGAGGGGAAAACTTCATGCCATCCCTGGGAAGGAGGAACCTTCCAGCTCTACCTTCTAGAAAAAAGCATGGTAGCTCTAGTCATGGTGGCTGTGCTCTGCCTTCACAATCAGAGGCTCTATTTTACTAAATACCCCTCTGCTATTTGGTGCACTACCCTCCTGAATGAGAACAGAAAGTTGGACTCACTTTGTTCTTCAGGTCAGCAGGGAGTGGAACAGAGGTAAATTCACATTATATAGATCAATCAGATTATAGAGGGTGCTTTATGCCTCTCTTCCATGGTATTTATTATAGTCTTTTTTTTGTTGTTGTTAAGGACATTGTTGGACTCCTAATTCTTGTCCCTTATTATGTTCTCCTTTACTACTATGTTATTGGTGATAAATGCAGTTCTAGGCACTTTCAGTGCTGAAATCAAGTCTGAAACTGCAAGACTCCTCCTCTCCAGGAAGGACATACAAGTTTCTCTCTCAATCATTCAGCCGTCTTCCTGCTCTACTCCTCCACACTCACCAGAACACTTGATGGTGAATCCAACATTCCAATTTCTTTCCAAGTTGAAAGTACCATAACTGCAGCTCCCAGCAAGTAATAAAATGACAGGAGTAACCCACCTACAACTTTTGCTAAAACAAAATTACTAATGAAACAGACATGATTATGTCTGTAATCTGCCACTTTCAATAACATCAAGGCAGATATAACTATATAAATGCTAGAATTCAAATGTTAGGCTATTATGGTGTAGGGCTGCATTTAACCTACCTTTAAATGAAATGTGCATACTCAGGTTCTTATGGTGCTGAGGAGAAAGCACTCACTTCTGCTTTCATTATCAAATACTACCTAGCACGAGAGCAATTGTTTTTATGGAAGATACTACTATCAAGTATGAGGCAAATCAACAAGACATCTAGCATCTAACATCAATGCAACTGTGCCGACAGTTGCCATTCTCCTCAACTCCAAAGGAAGACTCTCATCCTCTCATCATGTTCCCTAGACGCTGATGGTAAGCATACATAATGGAGTCATGGAACACTGTGAAAATTGTATAGCTCTAACTCTGTTTTAATACAAAACTTCCATAAAACATCCCCACTCCTGAGCTTGTCAATAATATTTGCTTACCAATTCTGGTGGCACGCCATAATATTCCAGCAGTTGTCTTAAGAGATTCAGTACAAGAGACATAGTACAAAGCACTTGAATTAACTCAAGTGCCAGTTAAAAATTACTGTTGCACATGCCAGAGGGGCTCAGCAAATATTTGCTACAGCTGCAAAGAGAAGAGTTTATTTCATAATTAGGCTAAAACTACAAACTCAGTTTACTTATACATCCACATGAAATATTTATAAATGCACTGTAAAAGCACAATTAATTAAAAGAGTAATAAGGAAGATTAGAAATAATGATTAGAAATAATAACTGAATCATTGAATTGTAGAGTACTTTCCCCAAACTTGAGCTCCATCTGTAGTATGCGTTTCCAGAAGCAGTATTAATATTCAAAAGGGACACACCTCTCACACACAACTAAAAAACATTGCCAAACTCCCCCCGCCCCTTAACTCAAGAGGCAGCTGATGTTTAACACAACCACCATTTCACCAACACCTCAAACTGAGAATTGTAGAGTTGGAAGGGACTCCCAGGGTCGTCTAGTCCAACCCTCTGCAACGCAGCAACCTCAACCCGCGCTCCCCGATCCAATTCGAAACCAACCTGGACCCGGTTCAGCTTTGCAAATGTGCCAGCAGTTTTATTGCTGCAACATTCGGAGGGTCACGTTTCTACGAAAGAAAGGGACGGTCGTGCATTTAGAGACTGAAGGAAACGACTTTTTGTAAACAAAGACCTGGAAATATGATTAAACCGTGATATAAAAATATTGAAACCAAAAAAGTATTAGCTGAATGAGAAACTGTTACCAGGACAAACTCTGCAGCTTCTGCAGAGACCTCACCAAAGTGACAGGAAGAAGGGAGAGCGGGCGAGAGGTCTCAAGCAGAGGAGCCCCTTTCCCTCGCTCGTTAATTGCAGCAGCTGAGGGGTCAGGAAGGGGAGTTTTACCATTCGGTGAGGAGGCTGTTGGTGGCGGGTTGCTTTTTAATTTAATTTTTTTTGCATCCCGTCGTTTGTCTCTCGACAGGCCCGCTTCCTATCGGCCGGGGAGGGAGCTAGCCCACAACACGCGTGGAGAGCCAACCCCGCCCCAACGGTCCTCTTCAGCCGTTGAGGGGCTGCTTTCCCAAACCGTCGGCTAAAGCAGGACGCTGAACGAAGCCCGCCCCGCAGCACGAGCGCACCGCGCGGAGACCGAAGCAGCTGCCGGAGGGGAAACTCACCCGCCACCGCCAGACTTCTCTCTCACAGACACCCGCGCGCGGACGCCGAAGCGAGAGATGAGCGGAAAGACGCCGAGCGCGAGACAAGGACTCAGCGCAATCAAACCTTGGCACTCCCTCTCTCGATTGGGTGAGCGGGAAGAGGCGTGGCTTCGCTCTGCAGCCAATCCCGCAGCGCTAAGGCGCCGTTTCTGGTTTGCCGCGGCGCGAGCCCAACCGTAGGAGAGACGCTTTCTGACCGCGGGGGATGATGGGAAGCGGCAGCGCGCTCTACTCGATCGGCGGCAGAATCCCCGGGGTGCTGTTGCGTCCGCTGTGTGCACAGAGGCAGTGTCTTATATATGTTAAACATACGTCAGCGAGGGGTTGTGGTTTTAGCTGCTTTTATGGGAGATAGCACACAAGACAAAAGCTATAATCACCTAATATTTCATCAAGTACCTATTGAAGCCAATGAAAACTTAACAACCGTTGCCATCCCTACCATTAATTTATTTGTTTGTTTGTTTGTTTGTTTGTATCCCGCCTTTCCCTTTGACAGCGACTCAAGGCGGTTTAGGTGAGCCAATTGCCACACAAAGCTGCCATGGCAGCCCCTCAGCCATTCGTCTAGAGGTCCACTAGCCTATTCGAGAACGAAGTTGTGTGCCACAAATCTTCTTTTGTGCACCACCCTAAGCTAACAGGACTCTCAAAGCTCCACTCAGGTGCATTGGAGGATGCTATCCCATCACCAGAGCTGAAGATTCAAGTTCCGCTTCTCTACATGGAATGGGGGAATCCGTATTTTGCTCAGGAAGCTAAACCCTAGGGAATAGTGTATACTACAAATCAAATGTTTCCTGGTGGCTATGCAAATATCTAAAACAGGAGTGCAATTATGCACATGCTAATGAACAGTATTGAGGGACGGGTGGCGCTGTGGGTTAAAGCCTCAGCGCCTAGGACTTGCCGATCGAAAGGTCGGCGGTTTGAATCCCCGCGGCGGGGTGCGCTCCCGTCACTCGGTCCCAGCGCCTGCCAACCTAGCAGTTCGAAAGCACCCTCGGGTGCAAGTAGATAAATAGGGACCGCTTACCAGCGGGAAGGTAAACGGCGTTCCGTGTGCTGCGCTGGCTCGCCAGATGCAGCTTGTCACGCTGGCCACGTGACCCGGAAGTGTCTGCGGACAGCGCTGGCCCCCGGCCTCTTGAGTGAGATGGGCGCACAACCCTAGAGTCTGTCAAGACTGGCCCGTACGGGCAGGGGTACCTTTACCTTTAATGAACAGTATTACTAGATTTCACCTTCCTAAATTTAATTTTTGTGCAAAGGAAAATTCCAGGTTTCAACTTGCTTTATTTTCAAATTTAGTCTTGATTATTGCTATAAATCCCCTTCCCACAGTATGAGCCTGCTTAAAGTGTATGAGCTCCCACCACTAAACACTCTGTTGCCTGTTGTAAAGATGCCAGGTGTGCTTTCACTCCCAAGTTGCACGCTTTTTCTCTGCTTGCAACATTCACTGTTAACAAATAGATACAGTGGTACCTCTGGTTATGTACTTAATTTGTTCCGGAGGTCCGTTCTTAACCTGAAACTGTTCTTAACCTGAAGCACTTTAGCTAATGGGGCCTCCCGCTGCTGCTGCGCCGCCACCACGCGATTTCTGTTCTCATCCTGAAGCACAGTTCTTAACCCGAGGTACTATTTCTGGGTTAGTGGAGCCTGTAACCTGAAGCGTATGTAACCTGAAGTGTATGTAACCCAAGGTACCACTGTACGATATTGTCTCAAGAAAGCAATGCCTTCAGGTTTACCTTAGTGCTTAACCACTACTGGCACTGTGATTGTTCCATAGTCCAAGAAACAAGCTTCTCATCTGGTTCAGAAAAATCTTGTTTCCAAATTGAGATTGTGTCTGTGGTCACTCCGATCTGTCACATCTTGAATCTATGGCCAATTGCAGCTTCCTGGAACATGTCTCTGTGTAGCTCTCCTTTAAACATTATGTTCATCAGGAAACACTGAAGCAGTTTCAGTCATGTAAACACTGAATTAGTCCTGCATGTCAAAACACATACCTTATTTCACTTGTAGTGATCTCAAGTCTGACAGGGCCTTCCTTGTTTGCTACTTTGCTCAGTCAAAGTGGTTTGGAAGTCTGTATCACCACATCCATGCTTTTTACCCTTCTTCATCGTAATGTATTTGGTTCTTAAATTCAAGCCAAAACAGAAACTAAAGAATGCTATTCCAGGCCTTGCTGCTCACTGCATTTGCTCTTTGGTTCCCCCCAATGCTCAAATTCTGTGCCATAGCTCATTCTTCTTGCCATTTCTGAACTAGTGCTGCGTGTGCCTGACTACTTGGGATTTTCAATATGTAGGATGATGCAGATGCTTTTGTTACTTTTACACTAATCTTCCAAGTTTTGATATAAATATATATAATACACTACAAACTTTCCATCTCCTGCCACATTATAAAACTAACCAACACATTTATGTCGAAGTCATTTATTTTCATTTATCAGTTCTTCCTGGAACAGTACAAGTGGTATCACCAACACATTTTTTAAGGTGGCTGAGTTTGAATAAAGAAATAGAGCAGAAGTGTGTCTGGTGTATGAGAAGGTAGATGGAGGTGGTCAGTTGTTTGTTGTTGTTTAGTCGTGTCCGACTCTTCGTGACCCCATGGACCAGAGCACGCCAGGCACTTCTGTCTTCCACTGCTTTTATATCATATGTCTGAGTGCTCTTGTGCTTGAATTCTGCTTGTGGGTCTCCCACAGACATCCAGTTGGCCATTGTGAAAAGGATGCTGGGCTAGATGGTGATCCAGCAGGCTCTTTTTACGTTCTCATGTTAGTAACTAAGTTGAGCCCACTGATTTTAATGGGTCTGCTCATATGATTTAGCCAGAGACAATCCATTGCTCCCAATGTTGCAAATCTATGCTACTGTTGTAAATAGATGACTTCTGAGCTAATCTACCTTAGAATCATAGAACTGTAGAGTTGGAAGGGACCCTGAGGGTCATCTAGCCTAAAGCGTCCAGGACAGATGGCCATCCAACCTCTGCTTAACAACTTCCAATGAAGGATGGTCCACCACATTCTGAGGGACTTTGTTCCTCTTTCAAACAATTCTTACTGTCAAAAAGTTATTCCTAATGTTTAGTTGTAAACTCTGTTCTTGTAACCTTGCTTGTTTAAAATAGGCACTGTGCTTCCACCCAAGGGCTTATAAAAAAAATCCTGTGTGATCTGTGACTAGATTAAGAAAGCATAAATCTCGCTTTTAGATCCAAACTACAGTTTTATAAAGGAGATGCATGGTCGTATATTACAAAAGCCTAGAATTTATTTTGTGAAAACAAGTAATTTGGACAGCTGTATCTAGACTTCTTGGTTACTTAACCTAACAAGGTAAGAATAAATTAGGCTGCATCCATAATACCCATCTGCTTGTGCAACAGAGCTTCCAATTTCTCCCCTTTCACCCCCCGAGCTCCCAAAAATTGCTCCATAGGGTTCCCCAACTCTCTGGAACAGATTTGGGGGGCTGAAGGGAGAACAGGAAAGAGAAGCTCTGTTGTGATGTCATAATGTAGACCATAATCTTCATATCACAGTTTACCTTACAAAAAATGATTTTATTTTTTTTACTACTGAATACAGTACTTTGCACATTACCATTAAGATACTGAGCAGGGTGTGCTCAACGGTACACCTCAATGCTTTGCATTTATAGATGCCATTCAGTCTAATACCTGGCAGCAGGACTAGAGAAGACGGTAGTCTGAATCTCTCAATAGCTGATGGCAGTCAGAGTACAAGTACCAACAGTGTGACTTTCAGAACTTAGCAATTACTGAAATATGATTTCAAGCAGTAGAATTTATTGGACAAAACACTGGCCTTCAGCTTTTAAATGGACACATGAATTCAAGTTTGGCTTAAATTACTCTTTCAATATGTGGTTTTTAAATGTAAAATAGAATGTCAGACTTTCCTCCAAGAATCTTTATAGCTTAGACTTAAACATACAGCTTTAATAATGTTTCTATGATGTGTTGGACCTGCAAATGAAAGTCTCATGTCATTTTAGAATTTTCACATCTTTATTCCACTGAAGACTGAAAACATGAAGATATCCAAATGGTCAAGTTATTTATCTGAAGAAAACCCACGGAAAATACTATTTTACAAACTGGGGAAAAGATTGGTACATTTGGTAGCTGGATCAATATTGCCATGAGTTTTCTGGCCAACACTTTCACGAGATGTCAGTGAGTCTTCCTCTAATGTTCCTGCAGTAATAATGTCATTTCGTTATACACACTGCTTAAATGTTATAAATGGATAGCATCTAGTGCTTTACATAAGACTATGTTTATTATGCATGTAAACTCTGGGGGGGAAAACACTGAAACATGCTTGTGTTAAAGGTAACTTTTTCACTACAATTTACCTCTTTCTGTCGTACGCCTAAAGGTTTGGAATGTAGGACAAGTCTTCTTGTAAGAAAAGTATGCAGAAGGTCAAGCTACTTTTAGTGCTGTTGCACAAACAGTTGAGGCATTTCCCCATTAGCAGTAAGGGTATGTGGACGGAGAAACGTAGCACCTGTTAAGCTACAGCTCTACTTGTCAGATCTAGATCAGTTCAGAAGAGAACTCCCATCGTGTTCTAGAAATGTGAATGTATGAGAGAATTAATAAGATCCCAACACTGACTTGCATAATGTCCTATTTGCACTCATTTTTCAGAAAATGGGATACAAAAGATAGCAAATTACTCAGGTTCTCAAACGTGATCAATAGCAAGCTTTGTGAAAACAGATTGCAAATCCTTAATCTTGCAGTGCTGTTCAAATGTTGAGACATTTGGTGGCTGCATTAAACAAATTATTAGTCTCCCACCCCAAATCAGTCAAAGTAATATTATGCTGCAATTTAAACATAAGCCACACAAATAAAAAGTTCAGGAAATTACTAACTCCATCATAGAATTGATCTTTAGTACTGATTTATTTTAAAACGCTGCCTCAAGATTTAGATGTGCAGACCTAAGTTTTACTTTAGAATAAACACAGCTGTGGAAGGGGCAATGAAATACAACTTTCAGGGTTCTCTCACCATATATTCTGGACAAAGCAAAGTTACACTGCTTATAACAATCAGTAAACATTTTTAAAAGATGCTCATGACAAATAGTATTGTACTTTTTCTACTTGCTTTTGTATAATCATCAACAGTTACTATTTAGTGAGATTGCAAAAGAACAAAAACTAAACTAAACTACTCTCCAACAATAAAATTTAAGTAAAATGCTTACATTCATTTGAAGACAAGTCATATTATAACGCTGTGTAGATAGCACATAGATGTTTTCAGCTGTAGTTCATCTTCAAATTTACTATTCCTGTGCAAAAAGAGATGAAAATGTTTGCACTATTTACACTTTGGATTTTTAAGCCATTTAAAATTAGAATTAGAATTCATAGAGCAATAAAGGAGTTCATAAACCAGAACTACTTACTTTTTCTTCTTTACGTCTCTCCTTGTCTTCATTTTCCATTGTTTCTTCTTCATCTTCCACAAGCCCATCCCCTTGGTATTTGTCATGTGTCCACTTTGGACTGCTACCTGATTTTTTGAAGTTGAATCTTCCTCTGCTGCGCTGGAAAGTGCCACGACCTCTTCCTCTTTTAGCCCAGTAATCTACACCATCATCTCTGTCATCATGCTAGAGTAAAACATGGATTAACAATGGAAAATTAAGCATCTAACACACTTTATTTGGAAAAGTTTAAACTGCCTGCTTCACATAGCTAAAAACTGTAGCTGAGTCATTTGTTCTTGATGTTCTGAAGCATACAGACATACAAAATTGCCCGATATCAAGTTAGAATATTGGGTCCATCAAACTCAGCATTGTCCATTTGGACTGGAAAGCTTGTGCAAAACTATGTCTTGGGTAGAGGCATCTCCCAGAGTTGCTACCAACGATCCCTTAATTGGAGATGCCAGTGATTAAATTTAGTGTGTTAGATATACAAAGTATATGCTGTGCCACTGACTTAAGGGCCCTCATTGATTTGAAGGGACACAGAACAGATTATTCATAGTTTTAGGTGCAACAAATTATCTTAGTCATTTGCACAGGCTTCTAAACTTCTGCTTGTCTGATTCAATAAAAATTGTCTATGTTTCAATTATCTATACAACACCCTCGGGTTTACCAGTACTAATTGATGGAATGCAAAAATGTATGGGAAGAAACAGTAAGTAATGGGTTAATATACATATTTTCTGAAAAGTCACATGGCAGATTTTGCTACATCAAAAAAATCAAAGAAAACTAACCATGCCTACCATGTCATTCTCTCAATTTCCAATGTTGAGGAATGAGCGTGGTTGCAACTATAACTTATATAGTCAAAACTCAGAGGAAATTGCAGAAGTACAAAAAAACAGAATAAAGTGGAGGATTCCCAAAAAATTAGGGCTAGGTATGTACAATGCCTACAAAATGTTGGCCGGCTGCTGGAGGAGGGGGAAAGGGGAACAAGCACTGTTAACATTTTGTCGCAGATCACACTTACATTACATTTTTTGATTTTCATCTATAAAAATCTGCCAAGTGAGCAGTCAGAAAGATTTTACACAGAAATGCAAGTTCCCAATATTGACATAGTGTAGACCATGAAACAGAACACAGGACAGACAAGGCTATTCAGATATAGCCTTGACTTTCTTCCCAATGCAAACAGGCTAAAAACAAGTTAATGAATTGCAAAGCCCAAATCACTTTGGATAGATGACAGGACTTCAGTGGCTTCCTTGAATGGATGCTTTTACTTTCCCTCCAATGAATGGATTGCTACTGGAAATGTTATACTCTGGGGGCAACCCTTTGGGGGATAAACTTGCCCATTGCCTGACACTGGACGACCAGGCTAAGACTGATAGGGAAGGCATAAATAACTCTCTTTTGCCTCATAAAAGCAGCACAAGGTTATGGTGCAGGTAAAGTTTGTTGTAAACATTTATCCCCCCCCCCAAAAAAAGAGAAAACCTGGGTCTAAGGGGCATCAGGAGAGAATACAATGCAAAAATGTGCTTTTCTTTCTAGTCATATATTGACCAAAGGCTTTGGGTCAAGGAAGCATTTATAACTTCCTCAGGGCCTAAAAGGTACTTGGGGGAGACTGTTGGGGTGAACAGGAGGGGCAAGATTTTTATTTTTATTCAACTGAAACCAGTGGTGCTATTACTATCGGTTTCTCTCACAGCTCTTATGCAAGCCAAACTCCTTACAGTTGCAGGTATTACAACTGTGAAATCTGCTATAGAATAAGGTATTTACAACAGTGTATTGCAGGAGTAAGTCAGGCACCCCCAAACTCGGCCCTCCAGCTGTTTTGGGACTACAACTCCCATCATCCCTAGCTAACAGGACCAGTGGTCAGGAATGATGGGAATTGTAGTCCCAAAACATCTGGAGGGCCAAGTTTGGGGACGCCTGTTGTAAGTGCTAGACTTTCTCTCCTTTTCTCTTCACAACTGACAAGCAAGAGGTTGTGCAAAAAGACCTGTCTTCTACAGCTAGTCATTTCTTATAAGCCTACGTAGATAGATATAAAAGCAAGTATGAGCTCTAATGCTTCCCCTACAGGACTCTTAAGATTCTTCAAATGATAGAAGATGCTTTAGATATTGCCTACATAAATTTGCTTATAAGACAAGCTTTGAGAAAAGATGCATGCATAATAGTATGGCACCCACCAAGAAGTATTTCTTGCTTTTTGGGGTATATTCAGGATCCCATTCCTCCTCCTTCGGCCTCTTTTGAAAAGTAGTGTTTGAGTTGCTGGGACCAGTATTTGTTCCAGCAAACACGCCTCTGGCTCTTCCTCTGCCCCTAATTCGAAACTGATTAACCAAAGCATTTATGCATTTAATTTGTTTACACAAAGCAAATGATAAATTCCTAATGCACGAACTAATATGCTTTGTTATCATTCATCAGATAATACCACACACAAATGAAGTGGCTTATGGATCAATCTACAGAATTTAACAGCCACTTTAAGGTAATGGCATTCTAGCTAGCAGAAGAGCGTTTACATATTTTTTTTAAAGGGGCGTATCCAAGATAACACTTTGAAAAAGTAGTATATGATAGTGAGAAATTTCTAATGTCTAGTAGTCCACAGAAAACACAAAATTCAGCAATTTTTGCTGATGCTTCTAGTTCTCCAAAGAAGCAGCTTAAAAGGCTAGCTTTGAAGGATGGAGAAATTAAACACATGTGTTTGGGAGTTACTGTTCTCTTTCTGCACATTACAATGAACAATCAAAGTCTGGTAGTCTAGAATATTCAACATAAAAAGCAAGAAAGGAGAAAAAGTAAGAGACATGGGAAAAGCCTAAATTTTTTAAAATGCATTTTAACTGAAATAGCACAACAGAGATGTAATAGGAAAAATACTTTCAAGTAACTTTAAAAAAGTAGCATTAAAAAAACAGTCTTGACCTGTTTCTAGTTGCTGGCATGGCAAGACCCACAGTTCTGTCCAAGTCATAGCTGCCTTTCAATGTTCCATACACTATCCCATATAGAAGGCGCATTTATAACAGGAACTATATGGCACAATATTACTTACACCAAAAACATTAAATGATTATGTATTCACTCAAAGCCATTAACTAAGGTATAAACCACATTAAGTAACTAATTTGAAGATCTTGGAAAATGGACTTTGGTAACATTTCTGAAAAGATAAAAAGATTGTGGTGTAGTGTTGAGGCAGATGTGGAGGAGCAACTGCTATAAGGAAGAAAAGAATAGGTTGCCTGAAGCTTAGGTTCTTAAATGTACATACTTACATTTATATTAAGTATGTAAATTCCAAGTCTAATATATAATATGGGTATACAGAATTTGCATACAGGATTGCATGCTAAGGCACGTGCACTGTATTGCCCTTTAAGTCCACTCACATCATGTGAAGAAAACAAACCAAATTATTGGGCGCACATTAAGAGTCTGCTGAAAGACCAGCAACTTCTAGCTCTTCTTTCCCAAATCTTTCAATTCCAGCTGGTCATTACAAGCTCAAGTACATGAGCTTGTTTCCTCGCCCGCCGCCCCCCCCTTCAAACCTCTTTTGCTTCTGTGTGTCTCTCTTTTGATCTAAAGCCCAAGGGCAAGGACTACCTTTTTGATGATTTTTGTAAGTCACACCAGAGCCTTTTTTTTTTTTTTGCATAAAGAGCAGAATAAAAATACTTTAAAGAAATAAAAGAAAGCACCACTAAATCATCTCTCTCTAATATACTTATTTGCTACCAAGTAATAGTGTTTCTTAAAATTTAAAACTGGATACACCTCAATAATGATAACCAGTCCCAATTCCATCTTCCCATTTAAGCTACTAAGCTGTTAAAATGTTGCTTTATAATTCACAACATACATGTCATTCCATAACAAGAATGTTATATATCCCTTTATTGTTGATTATATTCTTGTGTAACTTCTTAGGTTAGTTTTTACAAATATTGGTTGCTCACAGTCCAATTGAACATAACAATTTCTTGTAATTCTTTAAAGTACTTTGCCCTAGTTTAGGTACCCTTGATAAACTATAATATTTTACTATTAAGAATTTAGCTATCCTACTCTATTCTGAAACAATGAAACCATAAGCTCAGCAAAGAAGAGAGCCAACAACAAGCCAACTCTGGATTATTTAAATCTTGCAATTTTAAGGGCCTCAGGATTTTGGCATTTGCAATTAATGGGGATTACTTAACTGTGACTACGTGTCACACAAAACCAACACCTTACTAGTGAAGTTTGGGTTGGGTAGAAGTAATCCATTGTTCAATTTGGCCTGCAATGAGATGTAGGCAGTAAAAATGCATCTTGCTCCTCCCCGTAAAGAACTCTCTCATCCCATTTTAAAGCACATGATACTATTATCCAGAGCGCAATGAACTTTAGCCCAATACAAATAAGGCAACTGCTTTAAAATTGTATACACCTTTCTCTCATGCCAATCTCAAATAATGGATGACTTGGCTCATTTGTCACTGAACATGAAAGCCCAAATGGCACTGTTTTCTCTTGTAGTCACGCATTACTCTGGTTAATTTGGTCCCTCCTGCTCAAAAATTTGGTCCCTCCTGCTCATGATTAAAAAGAGACTAGAAATACAAAAAAGTAAAACAAAGAATATGGAAAAAGGAATACACACAGCAGAAAAACTTACTCCTTAATTAGGTATCACCAACAAGGTAGAATATTCTGTGAGAAAATTCACAATCAACTTTTCAAACACTTAAAATCATGACTACCAAGCATATGGGCAAGCTAATAGTAGAACACAATAGGAAACACTGCAGGTGTGACTAAATGTTTATTGCGCATATTTTTATTATTTTAAGCCAAAAAAGATAAATATATCCCTATCTAGGATAGGATTTTATATATTTCCTCCTTGCAAGCTACATTTCCAGCAGGAACCTCTTCAAAATGCACTTCCATAATATTTCACATAAAACAACTGAACCCTAATAATATGAATGCAGTTATTACAATTATGACTTTTTTAAAAAAACAACAACAGGAAAATTATGGTAGAAACTCACAAATGTGCCTCTAGGTCTTCCAACTCCTGTAAAACCTGGGTATTCTTTCTGCTCGTGATGGGGTTTAAATTCTTCATCTCTTTCTTTCTTGCTGTCCTTTTCTTCTCGGGAACTGGATGAGGAGGAAGATGGGGAGGAAGTTGAGGAAGATCGAGAACGGTCTTGCTCTCTTTTTTGTTTACTGAAAAATAAGAAACCATACTGTTTGCTGTAGCATCCTATACATAGGATTTATTTTCTGTGCCCATAGAAGCTATCCTCTTTTCTTGTTTGAATCTAACGTGCAGTATTATTACACTATCCAGTTTCCATCTATAACTCTTTAATAGCTAATGGCTCATTAGCACCTAACAAGGAGAACCTATTAGCCAGCAAACTAATTTAAATATATATGCATGCTTTACAATGGAAGAGAGAATAAAAGGTAGGGGGAAATCCCCAAGGGTAAAATTCTAAAGTGATACTATTTCCTTTATTTTGTACATCTTACCAAGAAGCAAAAATTGATATTGTCTTTTTGCTATATAAACCCAGGGTGCAGAAATAATCAGCAACCGATGGTTGTATGGACATCAGTGTAAGAAAGTAAACAGAAAGTGCAAGTAAATCCATGATTATGTAAGTAAGAGCAGGAAAATATGATCTTCACATTCAATTTCCCCAAAGCAAATACATTTGGCATTGATTTTACAGTTTTTATAGAATATAATACAAATCCCCAAAGGTAGATATACCTGAAGTAATTCTTATCACTAATACAAGTTCACATTGAGTAAGTTGCTTTATGAAAGACTAACCTGTTTCTCTGAGCCCACTATCTGTCTTGAGGGGGGGAAATAACTCTCACCCCCCCTTTCCCACATTAAGCCTACATGTCAGTAAAATTCTCATAATCTGGGTGTTATGAGTTGAAAAAGTGCGGAATCAAGCATAACGAACCAAAGTTCTTACACAAACTGTTTACAGAAATGTACTGCATTGAAGTCCAACCTCCTGATGTAGCCTGGATAATAGGACAGATTAATTTGTCATTTTTTTTCAGTGTTAGCTTGCTATTCCAAAGTTTTTGTCCTCATCCACCATAAGCCGTGTAAAAGACAAATACATTTTTGCTGTAAAACAAATAATTTTAATTGTTTAAATTTAGATGTTCCATTGTACAGTGATAACTGAAAGCAATTAAGCTTATAATTACAAAAGTCTAATTAGAAGCTAAAAGCCTAGTTATGGGAGCTAAGCCTTTTACCTGTCATCTTTGTAAGATTTATAATCCTTGTAATCCTTTGGAATTTTCTCCTGCTTCCTTGATCCACTGGATTCTCTGGAACCTTTAGAGTCTCCTCGTTCTTTACTTCTTTCTTTTCTACGACGGTCGATGTCATGTCGAAGATCTGCAGCATCACACTTTAATTTTTTATCTCCCTGGATCAGAAATGTGCAGTGTTTTAGTATTAAAAACCCTTAAGAGAATGAAATAGGAAATCAACCTCTTTGCATGCAATCCTATACACACTTTCCTGTAAGTAAATCATAATGAACCTAGTGGGAATGCATCTAAATAAACAGGCATAGGATTCCATTGTTACCCAGCTATGTAAGCGATATTCCCTTTCCCAATAGTTCTTTTGCACATTTAGTAGAATGATCTTTCACAGAAGAGAGTAAACTTGCTTGAATTGGGACTGAAAAGTTACTATTACAAAAAGAAAGCAGACCTGAAAGAAGCTTTCAAGTATTATCCAGGAACAAAACTTCAATATAACAACATCTTTAACAATTACTAGGACAGTCTAAAGAAAAGCTTATTTTACATCCTTTGTGGATAACATTGGTAATTAATGGATTGAAGCCAGAGATAGGATACCACTCGTGAAACAGGGCTTTCTGGATATCACACCCCCACCCACCCCCACTTAAAAGAAAAAAAACTGCTCCTGAGAGTGAAAGACTTTAGTGCGACTGGCAAATTCGAGAATTAAGTAAATTCAGAGAATCCATTGTCTATTTTTCTAAGAACAAAAAGTACAGTAATCCTTTTGTGTCAAAGTGATAAAATGTCACAATTAGATTACACAAAACTGGTCCACTGCATCCTTCGAAAATGATCAGAACTAGGTCAGACCTATTATCACTTAAGACATAAAATGATAAAAGCAGAATTTGTAAAACATGCCTCTGGGATAAAGGGCTTGGATGCTTTAAACCAAAACTAAAATTAAGAATATCAATTTAGAACCTACTTTCTGAGTTTCTTCTTTAAAGGCTCTCTCTTCTCCCGCTAAACGGGTATGCTTCCTCAGGGCACTTGGAGAGATGTCAATCCTCCTAAATGCAAGATTTTTAAAAGTAATAATTATGGCTGCCAACATTCATCTCTGTCAAGTGGAAAACTGGAAACACAAAAGAAGAAGTGCCATTGTGCAGTCTAAAATTGAACCCATTTAAAAAGTACAGATACATCTCAAGAATAAAACCCATAGACCTACCAGTCAAATCAAAATAGCAACAGCTACACATTTCCACGAAGTTAAACCAACAGCAGTATTCAAAAACCACATAATGCAACATTTTCTTTCAGGGGCAATTTCAAACTAGAAAATTCAAATGCCTTTTTACATTAACAATACACAGACATAGCAACTCCACACAGAGAAAAACAAAACCTGTAGTTCATTTGACAGGTATCATCATTCACTTAAACACACATAGCTAGAGTTAGGGAGTAATGTTTTCTATCCTATTTAACTTTTTGCAAACTTAGGCCTTGAGTCAAAGAGCTGTATATCAGAGAAAGCCCCAGTGAGAATTCCAATTCTCTTTGAGCAATTGCACTGTATGTACTTTTGTAACTACATACAGTTTGTGATACAGTACAGAGGATAGCTATGGGAAAAGCACATATAGTTCCTTTTGCTCTTTGTATCCTGGCCATAAAGTTTCGTATCCCCTCCCCGACAGGCCCAGCCCATCCATTAGCTATACTGAGACCTTCTCTTCAGATGGCAGACTGAGAAGAGCATATTCACACACTGTCCTTCAGTCTGGTCATCCTTCTATTTAGCACTCAAGGAGTTCCTACAAGGCTTTTAACTGGAACTGGGTCACCCAGCCTTGTTCTAAGGAAGAGTAAGCAGTTTAAAGTTTAAAAGTAGTACACTGTTAATTTTAAAAGGTATTTGCTGGCTGCCATGGTGTCAAAGCAGAGACAAAGACACCCTTCAGAGCCACCTGGCCCACAATGCCTCTGTCTGCAATGATCCTATGTTCTCTAGAATTCTTCATTAGAGTGAAGCACTGCCAAGTAGGCAGCCCTGGAGAGAGCTCATCCATGCTGCTGCCACTGATGCAGCAAAAAAGACCAAAAGGAGTAGGCAGTAGATCAGTGCATGGGAATGGTACACTGGGAAGCAGTGCTGGCTGTGCCCTCAGGTACCAGGAAATTTTGTGCTGGTCCTGCCAATATACACAATTACCATTTAAACTGAATGAAGCATTTATTGATTTACTTACAATATTTCTATACTGCCCATCAACAACAAAAAAATTCTCTGGGCAGTTTACATATAGAAGTTAAGCTATGAAATGTAAAAATAGAAGAAAGACATAAAATATTAATCAATTAAAACAGCATCAGAAAACAACAATAGTGCGCAGAACTTAAAAATACACTAAATCTAAACGACGTTTGAAAATAAAAAAGTATTCATTTGGCACCAAAAAGACCACAACCTTTTTGGAGAGAACATTCTACAACTGGGGCCTCACCACTAAAAAGGCCCTCTACCCAGTGGCCACCCACCTCACCTCATTGGATGGGAGCACCTACAGACAGACCCCTGAATATGATCTTGGGGTCCAGGTACATCTACACGGGAGGAGACTATCTTCAGTCAATACCAACACTGCGCCCAGAAATTGACTAGGAGTCAGTGCAGTTAACAAAGCATTGGTGTTCTTTTTGTCCTATTTTAAACCAGCTGGATTTTTTGGACTGTTTTCTAAGGCAACTCCATATATACCTCTTTGTGGTATTCCTATTGCTTGCCTTTCTGAACTGCACTGTAAATAGGCCTTTATACATCTGGAAAGGTTCAGCTAATTAACACTGAGAATACAGTGGTGAACATAATTTTTTAATTTAGCAGCAACACTCCCACAGAATAATCTCAATATAGTGATCAGGTCTCAGCACAAGTCTTCATTTCTCTGCACTTAAGCTGTCCTGTCTCCCTCACCATAACCATAATATCCCGCTTCTTCCCCAGAAACAGGTATCAGTATAGCTATATACCAAATGCTGCCCAGGTTCTGCTAAGGAGAAGGACACCTGGGCACTATGATGTCAACTGCCAAGTCATCTCCATATTCTACAGAGCAACTAAGGCTTCAACAGCAGTGCCAAACATACCAGAAGTCCTACAGAGCCCCATTTCAATAGGTCTCCATCCATTCACAGGGGGGAAATCTAAACCTCAAGAGGAAGTAACCATGACAAGGGATTCATATTAAATTCCCCACTTTCAGATCTCCAACCTCCTGCCTTTTTGAAAGAAAGAAAAACCCAGTCAGGAGTGTGTCCTATTACAGAAACATTTTCAATTCATGATACATTTTCTATTATTACCAGACTTTAACAATTAAGTATGTATCACAACTGATCTGGCAATTTCCCCCAATAATTTCTTCTCCATTCCTGCTCCATATCTATTTTAGATAAGGAACTTATTGGTTCACTAAGAAGTTATTTATCTTTTGGAGAGTAACTAGTATTTCAGCTAGGCAAGAAGCAGAGAAAACTATGTAATACTGCACCTGTGTATTTCAGGACTCTTTTGCCGGGTGCTATGTTCTTCAGTAGACTTCTGATAAGCAGTGAACCTCTCACTTAGGGTCATTCCAGCTGACTTGAAATATTGTTCTGTTGGTTGCAGAGGACAAATACTGTCTAATTTCACTACACACACACACACACACACACACATATATATATCATACCAAACAAGGATGTAAAAGAAGCAAATGAATTCTTAAAATATACAAGACACAAAAGTAACATTTGTTCCCACATCTTTCTTAAAGTACAGCAACAGGTAACCATTGTATTTTACAATTTTCTCTACACATACACACTGCCCAGTACCACTACTAATTCAAAAAACGTAACTTTTTAATGCCGGAGACAGTTCTTTTTACCAAACGTTTTTGCTTTGTGCCCAGAAGAGCAGAATACATTGCTGTATTTGTAGAGGAAAATATTACAAATTTAAAGAGAGCTTCTTTGGTTATTTAATTAATTGATACATATAGAGCTAAGTGTTCTTCATTAATGATGTAACCCTACACACGTTTATATTAGAGTAAGTCCTCTTAAATTCACTCCGACTTATTTCTAAGTAAACATATATAAGATAAAGATATGGGAGGTTTTTTTTCTTAAAAGAAACACAACTTCTTCTTTTCAGACCAGAATGAAGACCTTAACAGCTGAATATATTTAAACATCTGGCATCTTGGCAAACTTGGTAGCATATTTAAAAGTTTCTTTTTTTTAACCCAAGACCATTAAATTAGTAACACACATTACATTTTGAAAGACCAGTTCAACAGATGTTTGAATGTAAATGTAAAATAGAAACACGTGTAAAATTATAACGGACTGTTAAATGCTACAAATAAAGCAAGCTATCCGCTTAACAGGTCAATGTACATCTGTATCAACTTACCGCCCAACATCCAGCACATCTCTCATAACCAATCATTAAAACTTGATATGGCCACTACAAGGGTAGTGCCTCAATCATAATTCCATCAAACACAGGAATTTGAGCTAGCAACTCAGTTTTTGTGCCATTTTTGCCAGGAAGATAGAAGGTTCAACTTTGCCTGTTTGTGCATCTGTTATCTTTCAACAGCTATTTTACTTTTGTAATATGGATTTTGCCATTTCAAAACACATTCCAGGACCTAGTTGCAATGAAAAAGAAAATATCACTGGGCATTTTCAGCTCTAGGAAAGTGAAGAGCTGTTTAGTCTAGCTGCATTGCACCAATAATGTAAAATTACTACTACGCTTTTACCAAAACTCGATCCACAGGTTTTGTTTTGTTTTTTCAAGTGTGTAAAAAGATTTAAATACCTTTGGAAACAAATTATGATTTAGACACAGCACTAATTTGGTCACAGATTAGTGATATCTGGTCAAATTGTGTATTTTATATATTCACTGGAATCATTCAATTTAAATGATCTCTTTAGTAGCATAATGTCAGGGATTTCATAATTTGGTAAAACATTTTCTGGGTAGGGAAGCTTATTAAGATTTATTTTGCAGTTCTCAAATTGGCATGAATAAAAAATGTTTAGAAGATCAGCTGACAACCACAGTCGATGTACAAATATAACACAAGACATACAGAAATGTAACTTTCTGTCTAGGCCAAGATAAATACTTCATTCTAAGGGTGACATTCAATGATGTACACCCACTTGCATAAAGAAAATCTGCTTATGCAATATGACTACTGGTTTCTCTTCTCCACTCTCCAGCTCCTTGCAGCTCCAAAATCTGCTCAAGGGTCCCCCAACTCGCCAGGGCAGATTTGGGGTCATGCAACGGAGAGAAGGAGAAGAAGCTGGCTTGTTACAGGAACAAATGCTGGCTCTTGCTGTGTTGGATCTCATCCTATAGTAGGCAAAAAAATCAATTGTTTGCTCCTCCCTTGATGAACAATTAGCAACATCTAAGTTAGTACAGTGAGAGAAATAAAAGCATAAGAAAATGAATTTTTAGTAACTTTATTATAATATTGTGCCCCATGTTGCATAACTGTTAGAGATCTGGTCAATCAGTCCATATACTATGTTATTTTCAATATTTTCACCAGCAAATTCACATCTTTGAAATTCTTCATGATTTACTCCTATTATAACAAAACTAGCTGTTCCTCAAGAAAAAGCAACATAAAGCAGGAAATTTAGGGTGGTATTTAACTACATTCTTGAAATAGCAAAATGAAACCCCCCTCTTCTCCCCCATCATCCCCAAATCTGCTCTGGAGGGCTGGGGGAACTCCAGAACAGATTTCATGGGTCCACAGGGGAAGAACATACCATTGCACAAGAAGAAATCCTTACACCAACATAATGTTCACATTAGTGCTACATTGAATACAACCCAAAATCTGTCCTTAATCATGCAGTTGCATGCAGTTGAGATTTGCTGAGCTTGAGTGATGGTGCCTTCCAATGAATAGATTTGGCAGACCCACTACTCAAACTAACGTATATGCATGTGGAAATGCTAGGAAAACAGCTATATGTATCAGTAACATTAGATAAGAGAATTAACTGTAGTTAAGCAATAAAGCACATATTTTGCAAGCTCAAGGTCCCATATTGAATCCCAGGCCTCTCAAGTTAAAAAGAGGAGTAGGTAACATGAAAGAGCTCTGATTGAGCTCCTGTCAGTTAAACAAAACCATACTGGGCTAAATAGACAAAAAGTCTGACCAAAATTAAGGCAGCTACCTATGCTCTCTTCCCAGATGCCTACTTCACCAGGGGGGAAACCCCAATGACTAACAACAGAAAACAAACCAACGCATCACATCTCTAGACTTATAATATACTTAAATCATCCGGCTAGTGTTTTGCAGACACAGGCACATGCCTCTGGCTGCAATTGAAAATCTTCCCCTTCTAATACCAGCTTGATTCAAATATATGACTGAGCAATGTCATACGTGGATGCTTTTGTTTTGTTTTGCTGGATCCGGAGGTAAGTCTTGTGACTTGCCTACACCAAATAGCAGCTTTCTAGCTAGCAAGTAAGAGCTATCACCGTTTTGAAGAGAAACTTAGAAATCTATTAGTAACCAGCGTGTCTTTAAATATATATTTCTAGAAGAATATCATTTGAATCAGTCAGGCAATCCCAATCAGCTTTAAATATAACCAATTTAAATGCAACTCATTTAATTACAAAATAAGAAAAGTGCTAACACACTAAAATCTAACTAAGATTGGCTTCCGTGCACTGTTCCTTGTACATGTAACAGCTAGGCTGCAGTCTGGCCTCCAACTTGCCATTCCATCTTTCACTTTACAGGTGGTCCAGTGCACTGAAGCTGGGGTTATAATGTCTGTCTGTGCCCCCTGTACTTCCAAGTGACATAAGATTGCTCTTACCCATAGTGTTTAGTAGATCTGCTCCTATGCACAGAAAGGGTAACATCCAAGACCACAGTTCCAACTGTGTAATATATTTCTTTGTACAATCAAACTTCCCCTTCCTCTCTTCCCACTTTTAGCTCCCATGCCCCTCAAATCTGCTTGATGGTTCAGAGACCTTTCAGAGAAGATCTGCAGAGGGCAACACGGTGGAGAGGAGAAATGGGAAGTCCCATTGAGCAAGTGGAAGTCCATTCACATGACAATGGAGGTCACCCAGAGAGTTAATGGGACTATGGAGGGGGCACACTGGGGAATTTTATATGGCATTATTCATATTCATCTCAAAATATCAAGTATGCAACTATGGAGAGGAGCATGCATTCCATTTGCCCACTGGGGCTATGCAATGCTGTGTGTCTTTGGATTCCTAAACAACTAATGATTTTGAAGTTCAGCCCTGTACAGGTACCTAAGGACAACTAACTTCACACTCCCATGCCAATCTCTGCCCTTTGGGTACAATCCAAGGCCTACCCAGATATAAATGGACTGCCCAAGTTCCTTACACTGGAGCAGGAGACCCAACTTCTGGCTGTAAGTTGAAAAACAAACACTTACACCTATGCAAGGCTATTTAGTCAGCAATGCACTTAGTTCCACTACATATTGACATTAGGATGACTTAATTTGTCACTACAGAATTCCTACTGGAGTGTGACAGTAAGGATCAAGGAGACTTAACTAAAAAGAAGTTATGTTGTATTTCTCTGTTATATTAAGTTGACATGTAGTGCAAACCAAAATTATTCAAGACCAGATGAAATCTCAGCAAGTTGTAACTGTATCAGATACACATGCACGCAATTAGATGCAAGAGACTGGCCTATGCCAGAGGTACACAACTCAAATCACCCCGAGGGCCACTTTCTTATTAAAAAGGTAAAGGTACCCCTGCCCGTACAGGCCAGTCTTGACAGACTCTGGGGTTGTGCGCCTATCTCACTCAAGAGGCCGGGGGCCAGCGCTGTCCGGAGACACTTCCGGGTCACGTGGCCAGCGTGACAAAGCTGCATCTGGCGAGCCAGCGCAGCACACGGAAACGCCGATTAGGAAACCACTATATTTCCCACAATTTTATGATTTTATGCCAGCACTTTAGTCATCTCTAACTAGGTTGCTCTGTACATCATAGCACACACTCATCTTTCCACCTGAACCTTCGTTTCTCAGTTAACCCTCTTTTTAGTATTTCCTCCCAACCTACAAGGGTCTCTGCAGCTCAATTTCTGCTACCCCCATCTTTTCACTCTGTATCCCTTAACACCATCTGCTCTCTCACCTCTATTATCCCCATCTTTTCCCATTTCTCTGTCCTACACATCTCTTTAATCTCCATCTCATTTCCTTCTCCTTTTCATCTGAATCCAGGGAAAAGAGGAATAATTTAAGTAACATCTGCCAAAGCTTCTCTAAAACTATGCAACACTCATCAAAATCTACATATCCATTTCCTAGAATGCTGAATGTTAGGATATATAACCATAAGAGGAAAGCATGAAGTCTACTTGAACATAAAAGGGCTGAATTTCCCAATGGACTGACTTCACCGTCACTTTCCTAGGGCCATGTGATGCTCACTTTGTATGGCGAATTCAAAGCATACCTTTGACATGATGAACTAAGGACACAATGTGCTGAATAAATGACTCTGATGTGCTTTTGCTGGCCTGTGGTAGCTTAATGTGGTCAAAGATGGATCGGAATTCTTGCTCCTTCTTGACTGAATGGACAAGTGTACTAGCAAGCAGCCTGTCTTTAGTCAAGGAAGCAGGTCTAAAGTGCATAACACAAAAAGAAGAATAAAAAATTATGAAAAGCAATTCCTTTATGGATAAGTGAAAACTGTTACAAATTCAGATAATTACCTGTTTGAATCATCAAGTGGTACAGGTGCCATTTTAAGTTTAACTTCAGGTCGATGAGAATCACTGGCTATCATTTTGATCCTAAGTGGGCTCTCCTCCCTGAAAGTAGATTTCTCTCTTGCATCCAAATTCTTGTGCAGGGGAGGACTATAATCAAAGAGTTCTTTGAGCTTCTCAGACTTTACCTGCTCAGGTGATTGGTTTTCTTTCTTCATCATTCTCTCAGATACTTTCTCATCTTCCTTGTGCTTATCTTTTAGTGCACTAGGCCTCTCCACTACATAGCTAGTTGTGTCTTTAAGCTTGTAACTTTTATCTTCTCTAAATCCTTCACTTTCTCTGTTTGCCTTTAGAGAGATTTTAGATTTATACTTTGAGCTTTCCTCCTCAGCATTCCGGTGAGATGCAACAAAGCCCTTACCCTGATCTGCCAAAACAGACTTTCTGAACTGTCTATAATCTTCAGTCTCCTCTGTGTCCTCCCCTTCAGAGTCATTAAATTTTTGTTTTCCAGATTCTTTATCCATATAATATTCCAAAGCTTCTTGGTCCTCCCACTCTCTCTCTCCCTCTGTCCTCCCTTTTTCTAGCCCTCTCTCCTTCTGACCATCTTTCTCCCTAGCATTACTCCTATCAAGCAGGTATACTCTAGACTCTTCATCTGTGTACCTGTGGATGGCAAAGAAGAGGAGAATAACTCCCAACTGCTTTCATTTCAGTTTGTAGCATTTATCCTTATGGCATCCCAACTCCACAAAATGAGTACCAAAGCAAACAAATTTAATTACACAATTATAACGTTTTTTATATATTGACTGATGAGATTCTTCAGTGGCTCTTCAGATTTTTTAACTATTTCTTGTGCCTACTTTATCTTGTAAGAAAACTGCTCTCTTTTACAAATCATTATTTTTCTTAAATGCATTTCAGCACAAATACTGTATCTGTATCCCATTTAATTCCAGAAGTTCAGAGCATATAACACTGTAAAAAAACAGCTTATAAAAATGTCTTCTTACACTGCTTACATAGTAGAACACACTCACAATCTGGATACAATAAATTGCAAGGCATTTGCCAAAGCAGTTACTGAAGCAATACAATGTGATTTTTAGTCTCTCCTATATATTAAAAGTACATCTAGCCCCCTAGTCTATTTCATTTGTAATCTTCTACGATATTTGTATGCCATTTATTATATATTACTAAGCAAATAGAAAAATTTTCCTTTATAAAAAATGATCTATTTCCGAAGATATATTCAGTAATTTGAGAAGTGAACAGAATTGTGCTATCTATCCTGCAGAGCTCAGATAAACAGATTTCCAACTGGTTATTTTGTTTTTAAAGGACACAACATTGCATAAATGGTTACTGCTATGTTCAGTTCTACAGATACATTATAAACAAAGGTGAGAACCTTGTCAGCTAGAAAGTTGCCAATGTCCAGTTTAAATTTAACAAATTATGTTTCTCTACTGAAGATAGCCACCACAATGGTATTTCCTTTATCAAGACAAAAGGATCTTTCAGCACTACTGCTTAACACTGCTAGAGCAACTCTTATTAAAGCTGTAAAAAATATGGGAAAATCACTCTCTTAACAGAACTCTCAATACACATTAATCTGCAGTGTATTTATTCTTTAATTGCTTCCAATGAAGACACTGTAACATACTAATGAAAACGTGTATTTACAGCTCTGACTGAGAAACAATGAAAAGTTCATGTATACATTCCTAAGTCAGAACCTAAGTATAACCAGCAAAAAATTAGAGAAAATTCAGGTACTTTTCATTGCACAATATACATGTATAAAGAAGTATGCTTACTGTACTATTTATGTTATCTTTATTTTTGTAGTTACGGTTCCTACCTTTTCAGAAATTTTGCACCCTTTGTACTTTCTTGATCCCCAGCTTCAGGATAAAAAGAACGTATCCGAGATTCCTCACGTGGAGCATTCTGCGATGCAACTGCTTTAGCAGGACTTCTCCTTGAAGGAATGTGATGCAGTGGGCTATTCTGGGAAGGGCTATAGCGACTAGAGCCATTTCCAAGGGAGCCAGACCCAGACCTCTCAGGGCTATGCTGAATGGAATGCGAGTGCTGAGGTGTGTTTTTTGCTGAGTGGACTGTGCTGAGTAAGTGGGCATCAGAGCATGAGGAACTCTGACTAGGTGGGGAAGCAATAGAAGGACTATGGGGAGACCTTGGACTGTTATCATATGCTGAAAGGCCAGGCCAAATATCACCTGAAGCTGCTGCAGATTTACTGAAATCATCTAGTGCCTCAGAAGGATCATGTTCAAATGCACCCTTCTCCTCCTCTTGTGATTTATTTTTTAATGGACTGTCTTGTAAAGCAGCTCCCTCTGTTTTCTTTGCTTGCTTTTCTGATGACCCACGTCTTTTAGAAGATACAGGAGACTTGCTATATGGAGATGAAGACCGAGATGAAGAGGATCTTGGAGACCTGGAAGATCTGTAGGATCGGCGAGATCTGCTCCGAGATCTCTGGGAAGAGACTGACCTTCTCTTTGGACTTCTAGAACGTGAGCGACCTCGTCTAGGGCTTCGAGAGTGTCTTCTATTCCAAACAGGTCTGTAACCTCCACGGTGGTATCTACCTCCACCTCCTGGATAATATCCTCTACCTCTTCCTCTATAGCCATAGGGGCGTCTCATTCCTCTATTATTTCTGTAATCTCTGCGGTAATCTCTATTATAAACACGATCTCTACTGCGAGATCGTGAGTACGTCCTAGACCGAGACCTAGAACTAAGATAAATAGAAATGTTAGTGCCCATAGTTTATGACTCTTCTAAAATAAGAGTTACCCATATTATGTACAGTGGCATGGCCCAGAGACACCCCTGCCCCCAAGTAGCTCCATTAAGATCAGGAGGCACTCTGAACAGCAGCCCTTGAGGTTCAAAGTGCTCTGTCAATGGAATAAAACATAGAAGCTCTCCCTCAGAGAAATGTGCTACTCTTTCTGTTTATATGATGGGAGCTAGAGGGGGCTGGGGAGAGTCAGGGTAAAGAATCAGAGCAACTAATTCCCTTGGTTTCTCTTGTTTATAGGCATTTCTTTCTTGACATTTCATCTGCTATAAGCATTAAGTCCTGTACATCCTCTGTACAACTACTCCACACTCAACAGTAGCCTACAAGCTTCAGTAGCCAAAGCAAAAAATGTCTTCTAAAATCAGTTGAATCTTCTCAAAACAGCACTTAAGCTATTATGTGATTCTTAACATGCATTTCAAATTTCTGCTGATAACAAAGTGTGTCTTTCAAATGTTTTAAAAACACTAAACCACGGAGAAAGTTGATAAATGGAAGAAATGTACCTGTATCTCTTTTTTCTAGAGTGTGATCTGGATCTTGACCTTGAACTCGACTGTGATCTGGATTTTGATCTTGAAGAATGTGATCTAGTGTTAGAGCGACCCATTTTTCCCCGAGTAGCTTACACCTACCAAATAGAAAATAGTAAATTGAAACACATTACCTTAGTTTCAGGATAATCAATTCATATATGGATAGTGGTAAATTATGTTTTTTAAAAAAAAAAAAATCAAGAAGAAGCCATCCCACTCTTCCAAAAAAACTTTTCAAATTATCACTAATCTCCTCAAACATTCTGTTCCACATCATGGCAAAGATCAGTGGAAAGCACTATAGATAACAGGGAACAAAAATGTCAACTATTATTTCAATATTCACACTGAATACATTTAATGCTTATGCATTTTTGTGTGTGTGCTGTTCCTTTCTTGATTAAAAAAACCTTTCATTTATCCTTGTCTATATTGAACTAAAAATAGTCACTAACTACTCCACTGTTCTTTACCCCAAAGATCTACCTTTGATCCATAACTCAGAAAGTCACTCAAAACACCAATTCTTTTTGTACTAACATAGCTAGATCAAAACAGACTAGTAACATAGACTTCAATGAACAAAGTCATCACTGGTGTATTCCCCATCACTGAAGTACTGCAATACAGTATAAATATGACAGCCAAGGCAAGAGCTATCTCATTAATATATTTTAGTAGCTCATATTCAATGAAAAGCAAAAACAAAACAAAAAACCCAAAGACAAAATAGCTAACTCAGAACAGACAGAAAAATATTATTTTCCTTTCTTTCCTAGCTTTCCTCCATACTTGAAAATTTGGCTGTTTTCATGTAACCTGCCTAATGCATTCAGTAATTCAACCAAGTCATTTTACTTTCCTTTTAAACAAAGGCAACACTTTAAGTCATTATTTGACAATAAAAGTCAAAACAGCCATCTTCATTCCAATTTACCAATCTATGCCGAGTTTGGGTTGAAGAAATGATAACTGAGATCTAATCTGAAATTGTTGAAATTTGGAATTTTAGAGATCTGAATATATTGGATTTTAAAAGTTATAAACTTCGAGAAATAAGGACCAAAAGGAACAAGTTTACAGCCACTTTAATAAATTAGTACCATTATTTAAAACTTTATTATTACTTATTATGAAAAACACACTGGATCACAGTAATACTGGACATATTGCTTCTTCACACAAGGGTTAGGCATCCACCAATAGTTTAATCCTTATGTTTAATTCGCATGCAGGGGAACTCCCTAACTCACTGAGGTTTTGAGACCCATCGGCTACCTTCACCTGGTTTACCCAGCTAGTTGAAGCCATTTCCAGGGTGTCTCATGCAAATAAATTTTAGGAGTCACAGGTGAGAACTGAGTTCAGGGTGGGGACCAAAGGTGGAGAAACTACCCCAGAAGGAGCATGATGTGTCCCCCACCAGAGGTACTACCAGAGCTAAGGACTAAACCCTACACAAATATGAAGTGGAGTCCCTAAGGCAATTGGATGGCATCTTGCATGCCTCGTTCTGGCACCTCTAGCAACCAAAGGTAAAGGTACCCCTGCCCGTACGGGCCAGTCGTGACCGACTCTGGGGTTGCGTGCTCATCTCGCTTAAGAGGCCGGGAGCCAGTGCTGTCCGAAGACACTTCCGGGTCACGTGGCCAGTGTGACGAAGCTGCTCTGGCGAGCCAGCACCAGGGCAGCGCACGGAACGCTGTTTACCTTCCCGCTATAAAGTGGTACCTATTTATCTACTTGCACTTAGGGGTGCTTTCAAACTGCTAGGTGGGCAGGAGCTGGGACCGAACGACAGGAGCTCACCCTGCCGCAGGGATTCGAACCGCTGACCATACGATCGGCAAGTCCTAGGCACTGAGGTTTCACCCACAGCACCACCCACGTCCCACAGCAACCAAGCTGGTGCCAAATGTATTGCTCTGCTTTCCTTTGGATCACATTAGTGTGGCTAATGGTGGCTAACACACTGTCCAGGTTTGCACCACCAGAGAGGTCACTTTGGTGCTCCTAACACAGCAAAAACAATGTAGGTGGGAGCAGTTACAAAGTACCAATCTCTGTAGCCACAGCAGGTGCTGTGATTCTCCAGAGGTTTGAATTCGCCCCTGGAGATGCACTCCATTGTCTCTTGAGAGAGATGGATTCCAGCAAGCTGTCTCCATCCCCCCAAATGAAACTATAAATGATATGGTTTAATAAAATTAACAACAACAACAAATTATTTATACCCTGCACATCTGGCTGGGTTTCCTCAGCCACTCTGGGCGGCTTCCAACAAAATATTAAAAATATTTTTGAATGTTAATGGTCTTAAAAATATTTAAAATAGCTAAGTATTTAGCTTACCTTGCAATCCTGCTAGACAAGAAATGGATTTAAAATTATTGGTATGCACTCAAATGTTTAATTCCTGTTTTTAAAAAAGAAAACAAAAGCAGATGTTATTTGACTGCATAGTTAATACAGGTTTTAAAAAATGCTTGACGTATTTAAACAGAGAAGATCTGAAGCACAGTCTGATGTGGTGGGTTATGTTGTTTCAAACTCAAAGTAACATTTACTCAGTGCAACACTGTCTCACAGCCTGCTGAGTTTAAGTTGATTGTTCAGAAATACGATACATGTTCACATTGACTTAATTTATTGGCCTTTCCAAAAATTGCTCAGTAAGAATATATAAGTATTGTCTCACAACGTTCTTGTATCTTACAGTAACCTATCCTAGTGCCACCACCTATTGTGGTGCCGCAAATTAATAAAGAGGTTTGGGTTTGGGGCATAAAAGCCAGAGCTTAGTCAGAGCCCCTTACCTGCTTGGGAGCAACAGGAAACCTAATCTAAGGCCCTATCCTGATGTGAAGGTGCCAATGCTCTTTGCCTCTGAATGCAGTGTCCAATCCACCTAAAGTGCTGAACAATGGTATAAGGGACACACTCAGAAACCATTTTCTGCATGTAAGAGCTCTCAATGAATCACAAAAAATATATGCTCAACATATATGGTTGCTTATACCTCAATACCTGCCTCTTTTCTGAATATGAATGTAATTTTCAGTATTCCAGAATAGTTAAAGAATTTATTTTATTTAGTGCATTTATATCCTGTCTTCCTTTCATCATAGAGCTCAAAGTGGCATATATGGGATTATCAGGTCGTCTCCCATCCAGGTGCTAACTAGTTACCAGACCTGTTTAACTTAAGCTTCAATGTGTGTTCTCAGACCAAGCAATGTAAACCTACACATTTAGCAAGATAAAAATGAACTTTTTTATTTAAAAAAGCCAGATTAAAATTAATCACACATTTTTAATGTTATCTGGTAACAACCAACCCAAATGAACACATCTCACAATGCTTCCAGAACTGCAAGTCTATGACAAATCCATAATGGGAGAAAAATACTGCACATACTAATCTGCACCACTTACTAGCCACTTTTAAAGTGATTTATACTTCTAACACGGGAAAGTACAACGGACTCTCTTCAAAAAATGTTCTGACTAGTAAGTAACAGTGCTGTTACTTATTAACCCTACAGCAATAACTCCAAGATGCTCAGCCTAATATGAAATGGTGAAAACCTTAATGTAGCCTAACTTGCTGTGAGAAATATAAATTTATGTCATTTATATACCACCCTTCTGCTGGCCTAAGCGTTCTGTAGAACTGTGATGGTTCTGTCAGGAGCTGATGAAATCTGCTCCCTGGTCTAAACTTCTTCCTTCTGTCTTCCCTCAAGGTATAGTTCTTAAGAAGGTACTCAATAATTTTTCAGCTTGATTTTTTTTTTATTGTCTATGCAAATCTCATTAAAGAAAACATTAAAAAAGAAAAGCTATGAGCCACCCTCCAGCACACACTCCCAAGATACATAAATGAGAGCTAGTTTGGTACAGCAGTTAGAGTGCTTAAAATAATAATAAGCATGACACACCCATTCATTAAGGAGCGTTCCTGCTGCATTTTGCATGATTTACTGATCCAGCTTGTTTTTTCTGATAAGCCTCTGCTGATGTTGGAATATTCTACCACCACTATCAAGTGTGACTTGACCATTCAATTACTTCTGATGCAGACAGAGTAGACTGCCTGTTCCATCTCAGTGTGAGTCACTGAGCTAGGCTTACCAGCTTTCAGAACAGGAGAGCAAGTAATCCTGACATTTACACTCTGAAAGTAAAACCTTCTCAGGTATAAGCGACCTGTTCCTTGCCATCATAATTTGGAAAATGTTGCAGCCTAACAGTGAAGTCTTTTCTTTCCTGAGTGAAAGTACAGGTACAAGCCCTAATACAATTTGCCAATACAATCTCCCTTAATGCTATTTGAAGATCTTAATACTTAGAGAAGGAAGTATACCATATCAAGAACCATAGTTCAATGGTAGAGCAACTGCTGATTGACTTGCCCCGGATACAGCAAGGAAAAGACTGAAACCACAGAGTGCAGCTGCCTGTCAGTGAAGACACTACTGAGCTAGATAGACTAATGAGCTGACTTGGTGTAAGGCAGCTTCCCAAGTGCCAAATAATAATTATACCAAGTTCACTGTGGAGAATGAGGCAAAGAGTCATAATTAACAACTCTTTTCTTGCTTTGACTTGGGTAAGCTCAATCCCATGAAATGAATTGAAAGGGCCTGGATCACACTGTAAATTTTACCTCCAGGTGCTGCTCTCAGAGGACACATTTGCATGAGCCTGGGGCAATATCCACACACTGCTGTAGTTGAAAGATACTGCAAATTACTGCGATAAGTCATTTTTTGTATCTGTTGGTAATGAAATTCTTAAGGATACACCCCCTTTCTCCAATATAAGGCCTCCCGCGAAACACTCTTGAGCATCATTTGGAAGCAAATTTAATCGTGCGGACTTGCCCAGAGTCCTGGCACTGTGTGAAGAAGGCACGATCCACTGACTACTCTGCAAACCTTTTCGCCTTTCTCAACAAAAGGTCTGGTGCTCAACTGGGAGCTGCAGCCAGTTACGGGCAGCTGCCTGGGAGGGCACGTGCATGGCGACATGCGTGTTCGAGGCATCCATTTAGGGCCTTCGGTGCGGCGAGTGTGCCGGGAGGCTGCCAAGGACTCTCTCCTTCCCCCTAGCTACACCTCGTCGCCCTTCAACTGATTGGTCAGGGTGGCGAAAGATGGAGGCAAGTCCAAACGTTATCAGGCGCCGCTCGTCGCGCGGAAAAGACTAATCAGAAAGCGACGCCCCCCCCCCGCTCTCGAAGGGCGAGGCGGGCCGCTCTCCTTGGGCCCGCCCAGCCGGCCTCGTTCCGGCCTACCTGTTTCCTCCCCCCGCCCCATGGGGGAAAGAGGCGGGAGGGAACGGGGAGAGATGACGGGCCCTGGTCCAAACAAGGGAGGCTGCGCGCAGTCTGTGTGTGTGTGTGAGGGAGATGGGAGCCGCCTCTAGTCCCCCTCCCCCTCAGTTCCTCCCGCCCTTGTGAGGCAGACCAAGCCCCTCCCCCGCCTTCAGTTAGAAAAAGGGAGGGGGGGTTGCGAAGGGAAGAACTCGAGGGAATTTTTCAAAAAATAACGGCGTCTGGAAGCGGGGGGCGGGGGAGGGTTGCCGAGCGCGCTTAACGAGGCTTCTCGCGCCGGAGCTCCGAAAGCTGGCGGTGGGGGGGCGTTTGGAGGGAGCGGTTCCCATGGCGCCCGAGGAACAACCCGAGCAGGCAGAAGACCTCTCTGGCTCCAGCCCTCCTCGGGCCGTTCGAAGTCCTGCGTTGGCTATGGCTCACCCTTCTCTGAGCGACAGCTCCCGTTCGGCTCTCTACCGCTCGGCGGCCATTTCCAGTCTCGGCGAAGGAAAAGAAATGGGGGGTGGCGGGGGAGAGAGACAGAGAGGAAGGAACAACCATAGAGAGAGAAAACCACTTTCTGCGACGTTAGAATAGCACGATGGCATCACTTCCGCTCGGAGAGAGGGCGGAGAGGAAATATGACCTCTTTACCTTGGCGTCTCCGGCTACCCGTATGAAAGATGGCGGTTAGAAGCGGCCGAGGCGGTGTGAGTGACGCTAGCTGCCCTGGCAGGAAGTCTTCGGGATCACGTGATCTTTCCTTGTGTTGGAAGGACACAGGGAGGGAAAAGCCTATGCTGCTGAGGCGCATGCGCCCTGTGGCGCTTTTTTTTCCTTGTTAGGTATCGTCTGCGCAACAAATCACGGGTAATAAATAGGGTCGATTGCTCGAGTCTTCAGAGTTTTGCAATAGCTGCGGGATTACGCCATAGTTTGGGGGGAAACATAAGGGCAGATAATTTCGGGTTCGCATTATTTTGCTCATTTAGGAAAATGTTCGCGCATAGGGTTAGCAGGGAAATTGTGTAACTGCCTTAAAGCCAGCCATTGAGCTGCGTTCCTTGGTTCAAATCCAGGATACTGTACTGTACAGTCTCCTACTTTGCACTTCTCTTTTTAGTTTATTGTGCTCTTTCTTGGGAAAAGTATTGAATGGCATCTTTCAGTCTTTTGAGTCCGTTGCTGCAAAAAGAATGAATAGTTCTGTGGCATCTTAAAACAAATTCATGCCACAATTAATTTGTTACCCTGTAAGGTGCCACAAGACTCTTCTTGTTGTTTTAGAACAGCGTTGTAGCATCACAACATCCATTTAATGTAGGTTGGACTGAGAGACAGCAACTTGTTTCTTGCCATCCAGTCAGCTTCTGTACCTTTGGGGCTAACGCTGCGCTCATTTCCCAGCCATCATCAGTTCCATCCCCATCAATCCCAACCATCATTACTTAGCATTTCAATTTCATAGAACCCATGTTTTAAAACTGGCTAACTGACCCTATCTGTTTTCACATGGAGTGTCCTGGGGAAATGATCCACTGTTATTGAAACCTAGACCTGTCCATCCATCAAAATGAAAGATGCTCCCAACCTCTCAATTCCTTCCCCACTCAAGGTTATGGTGTTTGCCTAGCTGGCATGGTTTTGCCATATATGAGCACTTAAGTCCACAAAGTGACTTGGGACTTTAGAGTATCCCTGATTCAACATGAGACACCTTATTAACAGCACAATCTGACCTGGGCATGTACAAACTGTCCAAATCCCTCATTTCACATTGTCATTTAGGCTTCACAGAGAGCCAAAGCACACCTCTTGTAAATACCTTATAAGCAACAATTTACGAAAGAAATAAAGCAGCTTCTGTCATCTATCGCTTGTACATTGTGGGTCTTTACAAAATTGAATAGGTAGGGAAAGAAGCCGTATTGTATACTTTATGACTCTAAGGACAGAACATATCAATAGGTGGCACTCTTCACTCATGCTGCTATCGTTATATATCACTTAGTATAAGTATAAGCAATTTAGGTATAGTATAGTATAGTATGTGTTTTTTTCTGGGGGGACGCAGGGGTCCCCTAAACATTTTTTGAACCTCTGTACTTTTGTCCATTTACTGTATTTTTCCCATTTTGAACTATAAAATGGTGATTTTCTTGAGTCAAAACCCAAGTTTTCGATCAAGCACATCCCTGCTTGCTGTGCTGATGAAAATGTTGCCCATATGCGGAGCAGGACCTTCTCTGTGACAGCACCACAATTGTGGAACTACCTCCCATTGTTGAAATGACTGCCCCCCTCAGTATTGTCAATTTGTTGCCACTTGAAGGACATTTATGCATTCAGGCCTTTGGAATAAATTGAATATTTGCACCATGTGGTATTTATATTTATTTTATGTAGGAATTTATGTACTGATTGTGATAGCTCAGTCGGTAGAGCTATGAGACTCTTAATCTCAGGGCTGTGAGTTCGAGTCCAATGTTGGGCAAAAGGTTCCTGCATTGCAGGGGGTTGGGCTAGATAATTCTTGTAGTTCCTTCCAACTCTACAATTCTAATATTCTATGATTGGAGGCAGTGGCCAGGAAGTAAGGATGAAATTTGGCTTAATAGAAGTCAGGACAGACTAAGATAAGAAAAGAGGTGGTAAAGAAACAGCTAGGCTACTTTAAATGAATTCAGATCTCCAGGGCCTGATGAGCTGCATTCAAGGCTACTAAAGGAGCTTGTGGGTGTAATCTCAAAGCCTCTGTCTATAATCTTTGAGCATTCTTGGAGAACAGGTTAGGTTTAGGTCCCTGCAGACTGGAGGTGGGCAAATGTCCCCCACACACACCAGGTAACTACAAACTGGTCAACTTGATGTAGGTAGTAGGAAAATGATGCTGTGATTACTAAGACCCATTATGTTTCCCCATCATCCTGGGGGAAAGTGGCAAGTGTCGTGCTGCAGGGTTCTGCCCCTAGGAGTTGGCTCCTGTGGTGTCCTTATAAGCAACTTGGATGAAGGAATTGAGGGGATGCTCATCAAATTTGCAGATGACATCAAAGTGGGAGGGATAGCAAACTAAATGTTAATGATTGTGGTTGCATTTGTGTATTCTTCTGCGTCTGCCTACGTGAAGTATTCAAAGCCATTATGGCTGGCTGGCCAACCAGACAGTACTATTGTTTCTGTCTGGTAGAAACTGGAATTTCTCGTTAGTTTATTATTATTTTGTGTATTTTCTGATTGGCAGCTCAGTTGTAGAGGTGGAGCCCAGCAGGTGTGCTGCCCTCACCCATGATGTCACTCCACAATATGCAAGCATTCTTTTGTTTGTTATCCCAGAGGCTGTTGCTGCTAGCCTTCCAAAACAATTGACCTTATTCTTGGCATACAAAACATGATTTCTCTGCTACAGAACAGAGGTGGATTCTGAATGCACAATTTTTGTTTGACTGCCTAATTTTTCTCCTTCCTAAAATAGAGGAAAGGTGATCACCCCCGGCTGCAGCCTAAAGTTTTAAAAGTATTTCTTATGCTTCGCAAGAGAGAACAGCGGTTAGATTTTGCTCAGCCATGCTGTTTGGACACAGAAAGCAGCAGTAGCTTTTCCTCCCAACTTGTCTAGATAAATATTTTTTTAGTTATCTAGATCACAATCTGCCAGTACAAGGGAGCACAGGAGCAACAGCGGGAGTACTGTACAAACTCTCAGTCTGCATTTCTGATTTTCTGTTGGATCCGAAAGTTAATCATGGGTCAGCTGTGTACAAAGTGTGTCCAGTTGCTTTGTGACTTGGCTCTCTCAGTAAAAACACTGTCTTCGGGTCTGGTGCAGGATATTCAGGAGTGCTTGGGTCAGATCCATGAGTGCCCCTGTCTGAAACGGAAAAACTTTAAAACAAAGCAGCTATACAAGCCTGCCCTTCAGACCCAGGAAGAGGAGATTGCTCAGGAGTTTCTGCAGCAGATTGAAAGAGGTGAGAAGTTTCTGTTATGAAGGTGGGGCAGCCAAAGTTGGAGAGATGTTTACTTGAGCTCGGTTGCTTTGTTTAAGATCATGCAGTTCAGTGATCCTATAAAGTGAATGACACAGAGCTGTTTATGCTTCTGCTCTTAAGAGCAATGAAGGGAGAATGGGGGAACCAGTATTTCACCAGCGCCAAATATTCAGACAAAGCAGTGGATCCCAGTTCCAGGCTGATTGATTAAATTACTCTCATTCAGCATTTGAAATCCCAGTTCTACAAAAGGCATCATAGCAAGGGATAGACCTGTTAGCCTCTTGCATAAAAGCAACAAGAAATATTGTGGCATCTTAAAAGACTAACAAACACATACTTTTGCTACAAGCACGAGCACTTTCCTAAGCCAACATTGAAATACTCTCTGTAAAAACGTATTAGAGGATTGGATTTGAATTTATTCTTTGAAAACAGAAAGACATCAAATGGAATGCTGTCCACTTCTTCCAACACTTAAGTGCTCCCATCTTTTGTTTTCATCGTTGATAATCAAGGAAATAGCATGGCTAAGCTGGTTTGCTAAATATAGTAACAGAAATCCAAGTTTGGAATGTCCCAACTACTCTCACAAACTGGCACACTGTATATAACAACTTTTTTCTCACATGAGGTTTGGACTGCAAAAATGAATGGGGGGATTACCGTATTGTTCGCTCCATAAGACGCACCTTTTCCCTCCTAAAAAGTAAGGGGAAATGTGTGTGCGTCTTATGGAGCAAATGCAGACGGGAGGCTCTGAAAGGGAGCGCTGACCAGAGCCTGGGATGCATACAGGCTCTGCTCAGCGCTCCCTTTAAAGAATATTTTTTTTCTTGCATTCCTCCTCTAAAAACTAGGTGCGTCTTATGGAGCGAAAAATACGGTAATAGTTTTTGCAGTCATTTGTTCAGCTCTATCTAGTATGCTAATTTTAAATGAGAGAATATTTCTACAAGGAAATTTGTCTCTGTCGTGTTTTATCTGTTGCTTTAAATTCTGTGCATTTGGACTCTTCAGGTATTTAACTTCTTCTGACACAATTCAGACTCTGTTATTATCACATCTTTCTTAAGGTTTTGAAATGTCACCACTTGGCAAGGTCTCCCTAGAGGCTCTGAGGACCTTGGCGTTTTCAGAGAACCCTGGCTTGCAAAAGTCTGCTGCTCTCTATTACTTGAACATAAATCATCAAAACTGTAAGATCCATTCCATACTCTCTTTTTAAAAAATTTGTAGAAACCTGGAGAAGCAAAACAATTTCTCCCAAACAGCTGAGTTGTGCCCAAGGCAGTCTTATTGGTTCCCTAGCATGTGTGCATTGGGTCTAGCCCCTTCTAATGCAAGTTCTCTGGATATTTACTTGGAGCCCAGATAATGTGGCACAACTTTTGCAGTTACTAGTCTCCCATTTTATTATTTTATAGAGGTGAGCAAGTGCTAGCTGGCTTTTTACTCATATGAGAGGTTGGCAGAAGAGGGTCTAGTAAAAATAAGTAATACAGGTTTAGTTTTCATGCGAGTTTGCACAGACAGCTGAAAGGAGGGCTACAAGA